GAGAACCCTTTTTGGTTCCAGGTGGAACTCTTTTGGGTTCCATGTAGAACACCTTGTAGAAAGGACCCCTAAATGGAAACCAAAAGGGTTCTTCCTGGAACCAAAAAGGGTTCTTCAAATAGTTATCCTAAAGCAGGGCTCCTCTAACCCTGTTCCTTGAGAGCTACCATCCTGTAGGTTTTCGCTCACCTGATTCTAATAATTAGCTGGTTGATAAGCTGAATCAGGTTAGTTACAATAGGGGTTGGAGTGAACCTACAGGAGGGTAGCTCTCCTGGTTGGAGGGCCGTGTCCTACGTGGACAGCCGAAGCACGCTTTTAGGTTCCAGATAGCATCTAAGAGGGTAGGCAGTGGATCTGCAGTAAGGGGATCTGCACATGCTTCCCATTGCATTCTATGGTTTTCGTTTAGGAAAAACAAAATGTAATCGAAAACCTTCATGAAAAAGGCATCGGGTTTTAGAAGAATCCACAAACACAAATATAATTTTACATACAGTGCCGAAATAAAAGTATTCATCCCCTTAGCGTTTTTCCCTATTTTTTTGCATTACAACCTGTAATTTAAATTGATTTTTATTTGGATTGTCATGTAATGGACTACGTGAGGGGAAAAAGTATTTGATTCCCCTGCTGTTTTTTTGTACTTTTGCCCACTGACAAAGAGATGATCTATAATTTTAATGGTAGGTTATTTAAAACATGAGAGCCCAGAATAACAAAAAAAAAATCCAGAAAAACCCATGTCAAAATGTTATAAATTATTTGCATTTTAAGAGGGAAAAAATATTTTAAACCCCTCTGCAAAACATGATTAGTACTTGGTGGCAAAACCCTTGTTGGCAATCACAGAGGTCAGACGTTTCTTGTAGTTTGGCCACCAGGTTTGCACCACATCTCAGGAGGGGTTTTGTCCCACTCCTCTTTGCAGATCTTCTCCCAAATCATTAAGGTTCGAGGCTGACGTTTGGCAACTCGAACCCTTTAGCTCCCTCCACAGATTTTCTATGGGAATTAAGGTCTGGAGACTGGCTAGGCCACTCCAAAGGGTCTTAATGGGCTTCTTCTTGAGCCACTCCTTTGGGTTTCCTTGGCCGTGTGTTTTGGGTCATTGTCATGCTGGAATACCCATCCACGACCCATTTTCAATGCCCTGCTGAGGGAAGGAGGTTCTCACAAAAGATTTGACGGTACATGGCCCCGTCCATCGTCCCTTTGATGCGGTGAAGTTGTCCTGTCCCCTTAGCAGAAAGACATCCCACAAGCGTAATGTTTCCACCTCCTGTTTTACGGTGGGGATGGTGTTCTTGGGTCATAGGCAGCATTCCCCCTCCTCCAAACACGCCTTGTGGCTGGAATATTGTTGTTGTTTTTCTGTCTCTCGCTGTTCAAAATAAACCTAAACCCTTAAATTATAGACTGATAATTTCTTTGTCAGTGGGGAAACGTACAAAATCAGCAGGGGATCAAATACTTTTTTCCCTCACTGTACACAAAATAGTACAAATTGGTGAAGTGAATAAAAAAAAATAACTTCTTACAAAAAATTCAAAAAAATAAATTACGGAAAAGTGGTGCGTGCGTATGTATTCACCCCCTTTGCTATGAAGCCCCTAAATAAGATCTGGTGCAACCAATTACCTTCAGAAGTCACATAATTAGTTAAATAAAGTCCACCTGTGTGCAATCTAAGTGTCACCTGATCTGTCACATGTTCTCAGTATATATACACCTGTTCTGAAAGGCCCCAGAGTCTGCAACACCACTAAGCAAGGGGCACCACCAAGCAAGCGGCACCATGAAGACCAAGGAGCTCTCCAAACAGGTCAGGGACAAAGTTGTGCAGAAGTACAGATCAGGGTTGGGTTATAAAAAAATATCCTAAACTTTGAACATCCCACGGAGCACCATTAAATCCATTATTAAAAATGGAAAGAATATGGCACCACAACAAACCTGCCAAGAGAGGGCCGCCCACCAAAACTCACATACCAGGCAAGGTGGGCATTAATCAGAGAGGCAACAAAGAGACCAAAGATAACCCTGAAGGAGCTGCAAAGCTCCACAGCGGAGATTGGAGTATCTGTCCATAGGACCAATTTAAGCTGTACACTCCACAGGGCTGGGCTTTACGGAAGAGTGGCCAGAAAAAAGCCATTGCTTAAAGAACAAAATAAGCAAACACGTTTGGTGTTCGCCAAAAGGCATGTGGGAGACTTCCCAAACATATGGAAGAAGGTACTCTGGTCAGATTAGTCTAGAATTGGGCTTTTTGGCCATCAAGGAAAATGCTATGTCTGGCGCATACCCAACACCTCTTATCACCCCGAGAACACCATCCACAGAGTGAAGCATGGTGGTGGTAGCCTCATGCTGTTGGGATGTTTTTCATCGGCAGGGACTGGGAAACAGGTCAGAATTGAAGGAATGATGGATGGCGCTAAATACAGGGAAGTTCTTGATGGAAACCTGTTTCAGTCTTCCAGAGATTTAAGACTGGGACTGAGGTTCACCTTCCAGCAGGACAACGACCCTAAGCATACTGCTAAAGCTACACTCGAGTGGTTTAAGGGGAAACATTTAAATGTCTTGGAATGGCCTAGTCAAAGCCCAGACCTCAATCCAATTGAGAATCAGTGGTATGACTTAAAGATTACTGTACACCACCGGAACCCATCCAACTTGAAGGAGCTGGAGCAGTTTTGCCTTGAAGAATGGGCAAAAATCCCAGTGGCTAGATGTGCCAAGCTTATAGAAACATACCCCAAGATACTTGCAGCTGTAATTGCTGCAAAAGGTGGCTCTACAAAGTATTGACTTTGGGGGGGTGAATAGTTATGCACGTTCAAGTTTTCTGTTTTTTTGTCTTATTTCTTGTTTGTTTCACAATAAAAAATATTTTGCATCTTCAAAGTGGTAGGCATGTTGTGTAAATCAAATGATACAAACTGTCACACCCTGGCTCTGGGACTCATTATGTTGAGCCAGGGTGTGTGCATTCTATGTGTTCATGTTCTATGTTGGGTGTCTAGGTTGTCGATGTCTATGTTTGTATTGAGTGACTCCCAATCGGAGGTAACGAGTGTCAGCTGTCGGCTCGTTATCTCTGATTGGGAGCCATATTTAAACTGTGTGTCTTCACCTTGTGTTTGTGGGTTTTTGTTCCTTATGCGGTCGTGTAACCGTGGACTTCACGAGTCGTGTTTTGTTTGTTTATTTAGATACTTTAACTAAATAAAGTCATGTTCATTTCACACGCTGCGCCTTGGTCTACTCTCCTTTACGACGATCGTGACACAAACCCCCAAAAAATCCATTTTAATTCCAGGTTGTAAGGCAACAAAATAGGAAAAATGCCAGCTTTATCTATATTTCCCGTTCTTAAGTTTCGTTTTTTGCACACCAGCTTCAAACAGCTGAAAATACAATATTTTTGGTTTTGGAAAATACATTTCACAGCGGTTTAGATGGTACAACGATTCTCCACAATATATTTCTTTGTTTTGTCACATAAACTGAAATGAGGCGAACTATTAGCGGCGCGATTTCTGCTTAGTGCATCTTTAAATTACACTTCTATACAGAATTACACAGCTCCTCTATAGCTCAGCTGGTAGAGCACGGCGCTTGTAACGCCAAGGTAGTGGGTTTGATCCCCGGGACCACCCATACACAAAAATGTATACACGCATGACTGTAAGTCGCCTTGGATAAAAGCGTCTGCTAAATGGCATATTATTTAAATTACACTTTTTCATGAATTTGATGTCCTGACGTCAATTCCAAAAACAGTGAGGGACATAATCCAGTAAGTAGGTGGGAAATATTGATGTACACTCCCCTATGTAATGTATGTATTTGGACAGTGATGCAAACATTTAACATTTGGCTCTATACTCCAGCACTTGGGATTTTAGATCACATTTTCATATGAGGTGACAGTACAGACTGTCACCTTTTATTTAAGGGTGTTTTTATATCTGATTTAAGTATTTGGACAAATTTGACTTATAGTGTACCAAGACAGTCAAAAGTTTAGTACTTGGTCCCATATTTCTAGCATGCAACGACTACGTTAAGCTTGTGACTCTACGAACTACTAGGATGCATTCGCAGTTTTGTTTTGGTTGGGTTTTGCCCAACAGGAACTGAATGGTGAATGATGACTGGAGTAATTGTATTTCTAAGTGAGGTGATAAGATGTTTGTGAACACTTCTAAATCAATCCTGATAATGCCATGATTAAGAAAAATCATGAATGAATCATGAATCATGAATAATGATGAGTGAGAAAGTTACAGAAGCTACCTCAAAGCCATTACCAACAACAGGGGAGGTTAGCATGTCTTGGGGTGGCAAGATCTTTATCCCTCAATGACCTTCTCACTCATCATCATTCATGATTATCCATAATCACGGTAGCATCCACATTCATGTAGAAGTGTTTAGAAACATCTAATGCATCCAACAAGTGTGTAGAGTCACAAGCTTGATGTAGTCATTGTGTGCCAGGAATACGGGACCAAATACTAAACTTGACGCTATAAAGTGACATTTGTCCAAATACTTATGACATATTCAAATGGGGGGGGGGGGACTAGATCTATAAAGTGCTTTCATTTCTAAACGGGTAAATCAGATATGTATGAAAATACCCTAAGTGAAAGGTGACAATATGCACTGCCACCTCATATGAAACATTTGATCTCAAATCCAAAATGTTGGACTATAGAGACAATGTAAAAGGTTGAGCATCACTGTCCAAATAAATATGTAGGAGAGAGTAGTCAGCGTTATCTGTGTGCATGAATACATCCACTTGCACACTGTAGAAGGGTGAATAATATGGATGTAGCCTCAACGTGAGCAACGCTGTTGTGACACAATCAGTCTGTGTGCACAGATTTATTACACTGCAGAGTTGGTGAGTGTCATAGCGTTAAATGGGTGTTTGTTGTTATTCAATTCCTTGTTGTTGTTGTTGTTGTTGTTGTTGATCAGGAGGTTCCATCGCTCCAGTGTGTAGCCCACTCTTTCTTCTGGAGGATCCCTGCCTTCTGCTGGCTCTGATGGAACTGGGGACGGTCCTGACGGGGAATCTTCACCGCATGGTACTGAGGCACTTTGTCTTCATACTGGACCCGACGGAAGAAACCACACTGTGGGGGAGAGAGAGAGGGTGGAGGGAGGGAGGGTATGAAAAATGCACTTTGCTGATGCCGCTGAGTAACCTGAAGGAGATTTTTTTGGTTCTGATTCCGCAACATTGTGTATGTGCCACAGAAGCCAAAATGTTCAGATGACTTGTAAAACGTCAGTAAAACAGGTGACACACAAGCAAAGAAAACACACCAGTGCCTTGCAAAACATTACAATTGTGCTGACACACGTTGACATTTCACCTACAGCCACCACAGTCTTGCAGCACCGCCATTTTGTCAGAAACACAAAAGAACAACAGAGAACACATGTTCATTCTGGCTTTCTAACATTCTTATCAAAGTGTGGAACCAGATGGAATGATAATGTTAATGAATAGAATCGGAATGATCAGGAACATGAACACAATTTCCTTGTGCCAGAATGAACTTGTTTCAGGTACAGAATTTAGGTCAAAGATCACACGGCAGGCAGAGCCACAGCACGCAGCACAACAGGTCTCAGTCCATTAGGCACAGATCTAGGATCAGCTAACCTTCCCCAAACCCTAACCATTAGAGGAGGGAACACAAAACTGAACCTGGATCAGTGTCTAAGGGCAACTTCAGGGCGTGAGAGACCAGGGCATGCCAGTGCAGGGCAGTGCAGGGCAGGCCAGGGTGCATGGCTTTACCGCTTGGGGGAGAGTGGAGGGGAAAAGCAGGAACCTATTGGTCTGATGCCTGCTTCTCCACCTCAGAGGGCTGAGCGTGCATGTGGGCGCGGTAGTATTCTGTCTCGTACTGGGGGCGGCGCTCTGTACGCTTGAAGAACCCACACTGAGGAGAGGAGGAGGAGAGAGGGAGGAGAAAGAGTTACAACCGAGATGTAGTGGAGGGAGGTAGGGAAGGGAAGGAAGGAAGGACAGGAAGGAAGGAAAGGAAGGAAGGAACGAAGGAAAGAAGAAGGAACAGAAGGAGGAAGGAAGGAAGAGGAAGGAAGGAAGAGGAGGAAGAAGGAAGGAAGGAAGGAAGGAAGGAAGGCAGAAGGAAGGAACGGAAGGAAGGAAGGAAGGAAGGAAGGAAGGAAGGAAGGAAGGAAGGTGAAAAAGGAGTACAGAGTAAAAGAGATGTGGAGAGGAGAGACGGACTAGAGATGTGGAGAGGAGAGACGGACTAGAGATGTGGAGAGGAGAGACGGACTAGAGATGTGGAGAGGAGAGTTGGACTAGAGATGTGGAGAGGAGCAATGGACTAGAGGTGTGGAGAGGAGCAATGGACTAGAGCAGAGATAAAACAAATGACTTATCTCAGAGAGAGGAGAGGAGAACAGAACGAAGATCTGAAGATCACAGCTTGATACAAAAAAATATTATGATTGAATGATAAGAGGATAAGGAAGGATAGTCTGCTTCCACAGCATGCAGACAATTAGGGTCAGCACCAGTATACCAGAAAGGATAATAGAGGTATGTAGCTAGGTACAGTAACTAATATACAGTATGATGTGTGTGGACCTTCCAGAGTATGCAGGGTCAGCACCAGTACACCAGCCATGTATTTATTTATTTAACCTTTCTTTTACCAGGAAAGTTGAGTAAGAACCAGGGGTTGGAACCAAAATAATTTTCCAATCGTTTCCGATGTTTCGACCAGAATATAAAGTTCTGAACCGGTTCGAACCCCAAAAAAGTAACTGTTTATATAGGTCCTTTTCGTAATTTTTTTTAACCTGTGAAATCAACATAATTTTTTACATTTAGCTCATTCATTTGGAATCGGTAACGTAGTTTCATGTTTGATTGGTCAGATAAGTGCAGGCACCAGATGGGTGGGGAGAGAGTGAGAGAGAGGCGTGGACATGGAGGGGGCTTGAAGTGTTGAACATCATAACGTGCACTGGAATGTGTTTAGGCTATTACTAGCATTATAACTTCACCGAATTACAGAATTATATAATAGATATTAGGAATATTTTTAGAATTAAAAATAACGTTATTAACCGGTTTTCAAGATGTGACATTTTCTACGGTTCTGTTCCGGAACAGTAGAGATCACTTTCGTTCCCTGTTCGGTTTTTCCGTTCCGCTGAAAATGTTGTCCTTTTTTCAGTTTCTGGTTCTGTTCCCTGAAATGGTTCCAACCGCTGCTGAGAACATTCTCATTTACAGCAACGACCTGAGGAATAGTTACAGGGGAGAGCAGGGGGGAATGAACGAGCCAATTGGAAGCTGGGGATGATTAGGTGTCCATGATGGTATGAGGGCCAGATTGGTGATTTTGCCAGGACACCGGGGTTAACACCCATACGCTTATGATAAGTGCCGTGGGATCTTTAGTGACGACAGAGAGTCAGGGCAACCATTTAACGTCCCATCCGAAAGACGGCACCCTACACAGGGCAACGTCCCCAATCACTGCCCTGGTGCATCCAGGATTACATGGGTACAGTAACCACAGTAGGTATAGTCATATATGATGTGTGTTGGTACCTTCCACAGGATGCAGACCAGCAGGGCCAGCACCAGGATACCAGCCAGGATGGCTATAAGGATCCACCACCAGGGGATCCAGTACTGGGCAGTCAGACCAATCTCTGGGTAAATCATCACTGGGACCTACAGGGAAAACACAGCAATATAAAGCAATGACTGCTTTGTTGTGAAGTGTCTTGTCTTTACTGTGTATGTGTCACTAGTAGCTTGAGCCCAGAGTCTTGTCTTACTCAGGACATATGGTCAGGAAAAGCCTGGCCCTAGTTCCTCATTTGAATAGTTAAGTGTGCCTGTGTGTGTGTGTGTGTGTGTGTGTCTCTCAGTGTGTGTGTGTGTGTTACCTGTGCGGCAGAATCCCTCAGCACCAGGTGTTTGATGCTGGACTTGACTGTGATGTTGGCTCTAACCAGCAGCTCCAGAGCACTGACTGATGGGAACTCCTGATGGAGAGAAGAGAGGAGAGAGGAGAGAGAGAGAGAAGAGAGAGAATAGAGAGGCAAGAAGAGAAGAAGAGAGAGAAGAGAGAAGAGAAGAGATAAAGAAGAGAGAGAAGAGAAGAGCGAAAGAGAAGAGAGAGAGAGAAGAGACAGAGAAGAGAGAGAAGAGACAGAGAATAGAAGAGAAGAGAGCAGACGCTCAGAGAAGAGAAGGAAGAGAAAAGAGAGACGAGAGAAGAGAATTTCACTCGCTGAAGAATAGAGAGAGAGAGGTGACGCGCCTGGAGAGAGATGAGAGTAAGAGAGCGGTAAGATGAAGGAGCGAGGCGAGGAGAAGAGTGGGAAGAGAGGAGAGGAGAGGAGAGGAGAGGAGAGGAGAGGAGAGGAGAGGAGAGGAGAGGAGAGGAGAGGAGAGGAGAAAGGAAAGGAGAGGAGAGGGGAGGGAAGAGAGAGAAGAGAGGAGAGGAGAGGAGAGAAGAGGGGAGAGGAGAGGGAAGAGAGAGAAGAGAGGAGAGGAGAGAGAAGAGAAAGGATCAACACTAGACCTTTACTAGGTGAAGGAGATTAGAGTGGCTCTGACCAGTAGCTAGATACAGAACACTGAAGTGGGAGAGATTAGAGGAGATTAGAGTGGACACACATTATCCATGATATATTTCATATGATTATCATCAAGAATATTATGTTATTCTGGTAGCAGATTGAGATCAGTTTATGCTTTAGTCCAGGGGTTCTTAAACCTTTTGGGGCCAGGGACACCTTTTGCGATAGCAAATTCATCAGGGACCTCCACATAACTCGATGGGGATAAATAATATCTAATATAAAAAATAGCATACAAGGAGTTTTACTCTGACTGGCAGTGCATGGCTGGATAAACCAAGTCTCGGGCCCTGGGAAGGAACATTTTAAAGGCCCACCTCTTGGCATCAGAGAGAAAATGTTGCAAATTTCCTGCAATTCTACACATTTTGTCATGGGGCAGAAAGATGTTTTGTTGTTGCAGCTTTTAAGCTAATATCATGCAATTCTACACATTTTGCCATGAGGCAGAGAGAAGACTTTGCAGTTTTAAAGCTACAGTTAATAACAAAGCGTCACCCCGCCTCTGTTTTGGTAAAAAACTGAAGAATGGGCCTGGAGAAATGTAACAACTCTTAAATTCACAGCCAGCGCTATGTATGCAAGGACTGACCATCCATGATATATTATAGATTTACCATGTGTTGAGGCTATACAGTGTTTTGTAGTGTATTAAGATTATGACTTTGTTAATGTTTTTTAAGTGGAACTGAAGGGATGTTTATTTAGTGTCAGAGGGAATGTTTTAGTGTGACGCCACATACAAAATACAGGAAGTGTGTGTTGTAGACAGGGGATTGGACAGTAGAGGGAGCCACCCATATCTCGGGGAGATTATATATACTGGGTAAAAACGAAGAAGAGGTTAGAGCGGCCATTGCAATCTGGGACGCCGTTCTCCGGGTGGTCATGACATCCGTAAACTCATGCTGAAAGCTTGTGATATGAATAAACTTATGATCAAGGTTCAGTATGAGCGGACTCCTTTGTTTATCAGCAATAATTGCCAGCATTGACTCGACACTACAGTTTGTTTACATTTACTTTGTTTACAAACATTGGCGTAAAACAAGCTATTTGGGTTCTGATTGGGTACGACAGTTGAACTAAGCTCATGTGGCATTTATAAGCTATATTCTTCAAGAATCACTGGGTGTATCATGGTATTCCACAGCAAAACTTGATGTAGCAACTAAGGATTCTAGATTTAAATTACAGTGCATTTATACAGTGCATTTATGTAAAAAGCGGAATTCAAGAAGCAAGAAGAATTATAATTATAATTAGGCCCTTGTTGCCCAGGGTTAAGAACATAACGATTTATAATATTACATCCTGTAAACTCGGCGGACCCCACTTTGAGACACCTACTCATTGTTTCCATATCAACACATGACAAAGAGGTTAGACAATGACGGCTAATGTTGATTTATACATAGTCAAAAGTACAGCGTTCCCCCTGTTCAGCCCGCCCTCGTGTTGCCTTTGTAGTTCCAGTCTGTGATTGTCTGTGATTGCTCTCACCCCTTTCACAGTAACTGTTTCATCAAAACAAATGCTACTATTATCATACACTTGCATTACGTTCAGGAAATGTGCCAAGCAGAGACATAAAGGTTGACTGGAACTGTGCCAGAGTGTAATAGACAGCCCATACGGGGAAATAATACATTTAAAACAAACATTTTTGGATGCATTTTAGGATACGTGAAATATAAAAAATAGGCCAAATAATGTATTTACTATGCATTTTGAAATGTATTTTAATGTGTGACATACATTTGTAAATGTATTTGTAATACATACAGTGGGGGAAAAAAGTATTTAGTCAGCCACCAATTCTGCAAGTTCTCCCACTTAAAAAGATGAGAGAGGCCTGTAATTTTCATCATAGGTACACGTCAACTATGACAGACAAAATGAGGAAAAAAAATCCAGAAAATCACATTGTAGGATTTTTTATGAATTTATTTGCAAATTATGGTGGAAAATAAGTATTTGGTCAATAACGAAAGTTTCTCAATACTTTGTTATATACCCTTTGTTGGCAATGACACAGGTCAAACGTTTTCTGTAAGTCTTCACAAGGTTTTCACACACTGTTGCTGGTATTTTGGCCCATTCCTCCATGCAGATCTCCTCTAGAGCAGTGATGTTTTGGGGCTGTCGCTGGGCAACACGGACTTTCAACTCCCTCCAATGATTTTCTATGGGGTTGAGATCTGGAGACTGGCTAGGCCACTCCAGGACCTTGAAATGCTTCTTACGAAGCCACTCCTTCGTTGCCCGGGCGGTGTGTTTGGGATCATTGTCATGCTGAAAGACCCAGCCACATTTCATCTTCAATGCCCTTGCTGATGGAAGGAGGTTTTCACTCAAAATCTCACGATACATGGCCCCATTCATTCTTTCCTTTACACGGATCAGTCGTCCTGGTCCCTTTGCAGAAAAACAGTCCCAAAGCATGATGTTTCCACCCCCATGCTTCACAGTAGGTATGGTGTTCTTTGGATGCAACTCAGTATTCTTTGCCCTCCAAACACGACGAGTTGGGTTTTTACCAAAAAGTTATATTTTGGTTTCATCTGACCATTTGACATTCTCCCAATCCTCTTTTGGATCATCCAAATGCACTCTAGCAAACTTCAGACGGGCCTGGACATGTACTGGCTTAAGCAGGGGAACACGTCTGGCACTGCATGATTTGAGTCCCTGGCGGCGTAGTGTGTTACTGATGGTAGGCTTTGTTACTTTGGTCCCAGCTCTCTGCAGGTCATTCACTAGGTCCCCCCGTGTGGTTCTGGGATTTTTGCTCACCGTTCTTGTGATCATTTTGACCCCACGGGGTGAGATCTTGCGTGGAGCCCCAGATCGAGGGAGATTATCAGTGGTCTTGTATGTCTTCCATTTCCTAATAATTGCTCCCACAGTTGATTTCTTCAAACCAAGCTGCTTACCTATTGCAGATTCAGTCTTCCCAGCCTGGTGCAGGTCTACAATTTAGTTTCTGGTGTCCTTTGACAGCTCTTTCGTCTTTGCCATAGTGGAGTTTGGAGTGTGACTGTTTGAGGTTGTGGACAGGTGTCTTTTATACTGATAACAAGTTCAAACAGGTGCCATTAATACAGGTAACGATTGGAGGACAGAGAAGCCTCTTAAAAAAGAAGTTACAGGTCTGTGAGAGCCAGAAATCTTGCTTGTTTGTAGGTGACCAAATACTTATTTTCCACCATCATTTGCAAATAAATTCATTAAAAATCCTACAATGTGATTTTCTGGATTTTTTTTCCTCAATTTGTCTGTCATAGTTGACATGTACCTATGATGAAAATTACAGGCCTCTCTCATCTTTTTAAGTGGGAGAACTTGCACAATTGGTGGCTGACTAAATACTTTTTTTCCCCACTGTACATTTGTATGGAAATATATTATTTCCGGTATGGGAGTGTTGAGATGTTGAGGGATTTCCGGTATGGGAGCGTTGAGATATTGAGGGATCTCCGGTATGGGAACGTTGAGATTGTTTTTTTAATAATTTTTTTAACCTTTATTTAACTAGGCAAGTCAGTTAAGAACAAATTCTTATTTACAATGACGGCCTACACCGGCCAAACCCGGACGACGCTGGGCCAATTGTGCACCACCCTATGGGGGTGTTGAGTGGTGGTACTTTAATGAATGTGTAGGATTATAACTTTTAATAACCAGATGCTTCAGCTAGCAAAGTACATAGGTGTGTGGCCATAAAAGGCCATACAATTCTATCAACATGCCGGCGTGTAATGCATTGCATTATGGGAACAGTAGTCTTTATTACCACAATGTGATAGGTGATGTGGTGTTTTACCTCCAGGAAAGTGCTGTTCCACAAACGTCCCTGGATCTTGAGGACAGCCGAGCCAGAGAAGCTGTGGAGAGGACACTGGAAGAGGACGCAGCGCGCTGAACCCAGCACACAGTCCTACAGACACACGGGGGGAGGGAAGACAAGCCATGAGAATAGCAGGGTTGGTATTCAATCAAACTTGCAGTAAGGATGCTGTGCATTGCATACAGGGCTCTTAGGGATTGGAGCATATTTCTGCAGTGCAGGTTAATTGAATCTGACCTTCTCTCTCCCCCTCCCTCCCTCCCTTCCTCCCTCCCTCCCTCCCTCTCTCACCAGTTTGAGTGACTTGCGTCTCTCGGAGGCGGCCACAGCGGGCGTGGTCCTACCCAGACTGCCCTTGTTCATCACATGCCCCTCCTCTTCCGGGTGGGACCGCCCCTTCCTCTTGGCCTGTTCGTGGGGACAGGAAACAGAGGACGGCATTTTTGTTTACAATAACTTATTTCTTATAATCCACAGAGTTGTGTAAATTGAAGACTTAAAGAAAGCTTTGAAGAAAGACTTTGAAGAAAGCTAACTCTCTCTCCTCTGCTCTCATCCTTCTAGACTTATCTGCTGCCTTTGATACTGTGAACCATCAGATCCTCCTCTCCACCCTCTCCGAGTTGAGCATCTCCGGCGCGGCTCACTCTTGGATTGCGTCCAACCTGAACAGGTCGCTCCTACCAGGTGGCATGGCGAGAATCTGTATCCGCACCACGTTCTCTCACCACTGGTGTCCCCCAGGGCTCAGTTCTAGGCCCTCTCCTATTCTCTCTATACACCAAGTCACTTGGCTCTGTCATATCCTCACATGGTCTCTCCTATCATTGCTACGCAGACGACACACAATTAATCTTCTCCTTTCCCCCTTCTGATAACCAGGTGGCGAATCGCATCTCTGCATGTCTGGCAGACATATCAGTGTGGATGTCGGATCACCACCTCAAGCTGAACCTCTGCAAGACGGAGCTGCTCTTCCTCCCAGGGAAGGACTGCCCGCTCCATGATCTCGCCATCACGGTTGACAACTCCATTGTGTCCTCCTCCCAGACTGCAAAGAACCTTGGCGTGACCCTGGACAACACCCTGTCGTTCTCTGCTAACAACAAAGCGGTGACCCAATCCTGTAGGTTCATGCTCTACAACATTCGCAGAGTACGACCCTACCTTACACAGGAAGCGGCACAGGTCCTAATCCAGGCACTTGTCATCTCCCGTCTGGATTACTGCAACTCGCTGTTGGCTGGGCTCCCTGCCTGTGCCATTAAACCCCTACAACTCATCCAGAATGCTGCAGCCCGTCTGGTGTTCAACCTTCCCAAGTTCTCTCACGTCACCCCGCTCCTCCGCACACTCCACTGGCTTCCAGTTGAAGCTTGCATCTGCTACAAGACCATGGTGCTTGCCTATGGAGCTGTGAGGGGAACGGCACCTCCTTACCTTCAGGCTCTGATCAGTCCCTACACCCAAACGAGGGCATTGCGTTCTTCCACCTCTGGCCTGCTGGTCCCCCTACCTCTGCGGAAGCACAGTTCCCGCTCAGCCCAGTCAAAACTGTTCGCTGCTCTGGCACCCCAATGGTGGAACAAGCTCCCTCACGACGCCAAGACAGCGGAGTCACTGACCACCTTCCGGAGACACTTGAAACCCTACCTCTTTAAGGAATACCTGGGATAGTATAAAAGTAATCCTTCTACCCCCCCCCCCCCCCCACAAAATATATAAAATAATAATAATATTAATTTTTTGTAAAGTGGTTGTCCCACTGGCTATCATAAGGTGAATGCACAAATTTGTAAGTCGCTCTGGATAAGAGCGTCTGCTAAATGACGTAAATGTAAATGTAAAGACTTGGACGATTTCTTCCGGGTGCACTTGTTTCTAACTGAGGTGAATGTAAAAAAAAAAAAAAAAAAAAATGCAATAAGCAGGTTGACGTTTATTGTCATGAGTCTTGTCCTGGGGGCAGAACTGAGCAATTTCCACTTAGATAGGCCAGCTGCAAAGACAACATGTGCTATTGTTAGGCTTGAAATGTACTGATTCATGTTACCGTACTATAACTCATTAATTACTTTACATGTATAAGGAATGTACAGTGAGGGAAAAAAGTATTTGATCCCCTGCTGATTTTTTAAGTTTGCCCACTGACAAAGACATGATCAGTCTACAATTTTAATGGTAGGTTTATTTGAACAGTGAGAGACAGAATAACAACAACAAAATCCAGAAAAACGCATGTCAAAAATCGTATAAATTTTGATTTGCATTTTAATGAGGGAAATAACTATTTGACCCCTCTGCAAAACATGACTTAGTACTTGGTGGCAAAACCCTTATTGGCAATCACAGAGGTCAGACGTTTCTTGTAGTTGGCCACCAGGTTTGCGCACATCTCAGGAGGGATTTTGTTCCACTCCTCTTTGCAGATCTTCTCCAAGTCATTAAGGTTTCGAGGCTGACGTTTGGCAACTCGAACCTTCAGCTCCCTCCACAGATTTCTATGGGATTAAGGTCTGGAGACTGGCTAGGCCACTCTTAATGTGCTTCTTCTTGAGCCACTCCTTTGTTGCATTGGTCTTGTGTTTTGGGTCATTGTCATGCTGGAATACCCATCCACGAACCATTGTCAATCCCCTGGCTGAGGGAAGGAGGTTCTCACCCAAGATTTGATGGTACATGGCCCCGTCCATCGTCCCTTTGATGCGGTGAAGTTGTCCTGTCCCCTTAGCAGAAAACCCCCCCCCAAAGAATAATGTTTCCACCTCCATGTTTGACAGTGGGGATGGTGTTCTTGGGGTCATAGGCAGCATTCCTCCTCCTCCAAACACGGCGAGTTGAGTTGATGCCAAAGAGCTCAATTTTGGTCTCATCTGACCACAACACTTTCACCCAGTTCTCCTCTGAATCATTCAGATGTTCATTGGCAAACTTCAGACGGGCCTGTATATGTGCTTTCTTGAGCAGGGGGACCTTGCGGGCACTGCAGGATTTCAGTCCTTCACGGCGTAGTGTGTTACCAATTGTTTTCTTGGTGACTATGGTCCCAGCTGCCTTGAGATCATTGACAAGATCCTCCCGTGTAGTTCTGGGCTGATTCCTCACCGTTCTCATGATAATTGCAACTCCACGAGGTGAGATCTTGAATGGAGCCCCAGGCCGAGGGAGATTGACAGTTCTTTTGTGTTTCTTCCATTTGCGAATAATCGCACCAACTGTTGTCACCTTCTCACCAAGCTGCTTGGCGATGGTCTTGTAGCCCATTCCAGCCTTGTGTAGGTCTACAATCTTGTCCCTGACATCCTTGGAGAGCTCTTCGGTCTTGGCCATGGTGGAGAGTTTGGAATCTGATTGATTGATTGCTTCTGTGGACAGGTGTCTTTTATACAGGTAACATACTGAGATTAGGAGCACTCCCTTTAAGAGTGTGTTCCTAATCTCAGCTCGTTACCTGTATAAAAGACACCTGGGAGCCAGAAATCTTTCTGATTGAGGGGGTCAAATACTTATTTCCCTCATTAAAATGCAAAACAATTTATAACATTTCTGACATGCGTTTTTCTGGATTTTGTTGTTGTTATTCTGTCTCTCACTGTTCAAATAAACCTACCATTAAAATTATAGACTGATCATTTATTTGTCAGTGGGCAATCGTACAAAATCAGCAGGGGATCAAATACTTTTTTCCCCTCACTGTATATGTTGGGGTCAATGAAGGGTAGATGGGAACTAGGAATATGGAAAGTTACAGAGAGAGCTCTGCTGTAGCCGGCCGCAACCGGGAGACCAATGGGGCAGCGCACAATTGGCCCAGCGTCGTTCAGGGTAGGGGAGGGAATGGCCGGCAGGGAGGTAGCTCAGTTGATAGAGCATGGCGTTTGCAATGCCAGGGTTGTGGGTTCGATTCCCACGGGGGGGGGGGCCAGTATGAAAAAAATAAAATAACAAAAAACAACAAAATAATGTATGCACTAACTGTAAGTCGCTCTGGATAAGAGCGTCTGCTAAATGACGTAAATGTAAATGTACGAGTAGAAACTTCATTTTCTGTTCCATGTTTCTGAGGAGGGAGGTGAAAGGTAACTGTTAGTCTCTGATAAGGCAGGCCGGCTGCGTAACTAGGGAGGAATGCGTCTCGAGGTCAAATCAACAGATGAAGTGAGAAGAAACCTCTGGAAGGGGGGCCAGAGAGGCCCACCACATCATCTCTCCTACTGCAGTACTATTAGTAACAGGCAGAGCTGGGACTACAGCAGTGAGAGGAAACAATACAATTCCTGCATAGCAACAGAGATGTATTGGTTGTCTTGATGTGTAAGGAGTTGACCCCGCCTATTGGAAGGTTATAATTATACGTGATGCCTTGTATTTGCAGCTGTATGACCCAGTGGGTGAATAAACTTGGTTTGAGCTTTTTCTAGTTGTCCGTTTGAGTTTTTACTCAGTTTGTTCAGAACCTAACACTATATTGTACAAATTCATGAAAACAAAAATGTGTTTTGTTGGTTTTCATTTAAGGTTAGGGTTAGGCTTACCTGGTTAAATAAAGGTGAAATAAAAAATAAAAAATCTATAAATAAAAGGCATTAAGGTTAGCAGTGTGGTTAAGGCTGAGGTTAGGTTTGATGACTTCGTGGCTGTGCCATGTAGCGACCACTATGCAGAGCTACCTACAGAACAAGATTCATGACGAAAAACGCTACACTGCAGGAAATAGAAGTTACAGATTGCACCTTTAAAACAGAATTAAATCATGGGGTGGAATATATTTGCTTCAATTAAACACTTAAATGTGAGCATTGAATAAATTCCATCAGAAGCTAAAATATCAACAGGCTAACAATAGAGCATTGACCCCTGATAGATTAATTATTAATGACTAATTATTACACCCTGAAATTGTGTATAATGTGTTAGAAATGTGTGAGTGTAGGACCAGTAAAGGCTATGGCATTGAGCCACTATTTAGCAATGTGAGTAAGAGTTAGGCCAGACAACAAAGACAACTGAGAAACTAAAATAAAGAGGCCTCCCAATTTAGGGAGGGGAGAAACTGTTATGAAAACATGGTGCAGAATATTGTGAGAACGGCAATAACTGAGTAAAGCAGGGAGTAGGATATGTGTGTGTGTGTGTATGTATGTGTGTATGCATGTGTGTATATGTGTGTGTGTGTCACAACTGATGTCAACAACTACAGACCAGTATCCCTTCTTTCTTTTCTTTCCAAAACTATTGAGCGTGCCGTCTTTAGCCAACTCTCTTGCTATCTCTCTCAGAATGACCTTCTTGATCCAAACCAGTCAGGTTTCAGGACTGGTCATTCAACTGAGACTGCTCTTCTCTGTGTCACGGAGGCTCTCCGCACTGCTAAAGCTAACTCTCTCTCCTCTGCTCTTGTCCTTCTAGACCTGTCTGCTGCCTTTGATACAGTGAACCATCAGATCCTCCTCTCCACCCTCTCCGAGCTGGGCATCTCCGGCGCGGCTCACTCCTGGATTGCGTCCTACCTGACCGGTCGCTCCTACCAAGTGGCGTGGCGAGAAGCTGTCTCCGCACCACGTGCTCTCACCACTGGTGTCCCCCAGGGCTCAGTTCTAGGCCCTCTCCTTTTCTCCCTATACACCAAGTCACTTGGCTCTGTCATATCCTCACATGGCCTCTCCTATCATTGCTACGCTGACGATACACAACTAATCTTCTCCTTTCCCCCTTCTGATAACCAGGTGGCGAATCGCATCTCTGCATGTCTGGCCGACATATCAGTATGGATGACGGATCACCACCTCAAGCTGAACCCTGGCAAGACGGAGCTGCTCTTCCTCCCGGGGAAGGACTGCCCGTTCCATGATCTCGCCATCACGGTTGACAACTCCATTGTGTCCTCCTCCCAGAGTGCGAAGAGCCTTGGCGTGACCCTGGACAACACCCTGTCGTTCTCCGCTAACATCAAGGCGGTGACCCGATCCTGCAGGTTCATGCTCTACAACATTCGGAGAGTACGACCCTGCCTTACACAGGCAGCGGCACAGGTCCTAATCCAGGCACTTGTCATCTCCCGTCTGGATTACTGCAACTCGCTGTTGGCTGGGCTCCCTGCCTGTGCCATTAAACCCCTACAACTCATCCAGAATGCCGCAGCCCGTCTGGTGTTCAACCTTCCCAAGTTTTCTCACGTCACCCCCCTCCTCCGCACACTCCACTGGCTTCCAGTTGAAGCTCGCATCCGTTACAAGACCATGGTGCTTGCCTATGGAGCAGTGAGGGGAACGGCACCTCCGTACCTTCAGGCTCTGATCAGTCCCTACACCCAGGCGAGGGCATTGCGTTCATCCACCTCTGGCCTGCTGGCTCCCCTTCCTCTGCGGAAGCATAGTTCCCGCTCAGCCCAGTCAAAGCTGTTCGCTGCTCTGGCACCCCAATGGTGGCTCTGGCACCCCAATAAATGACTAAAATGTAAATGTAAAATGTGTGTGAACTGAAGGTCAGTAGAGCAGTTTTAGAGTGGAAAACTACAGCCCGCCTACAGAGGGAAGGGATTTCTTTTTGTATGACGTATGAGTATAAAAGATGGACTCTGAAATTGTGATGGCAGAATTCTCAATGAATAAATATCTCTGACTATGCAGACCGGGACTCTGGCCGTTACTTAAATCCCAAAAGACTTACAACCTTTTGGGAGACGCACAGAGAAACTGAAATAGTTTGTTAAATAATTCACATAACACCCCTCTATTTTATTTTTTCACTGACTCTATGCACACTCACATAACTCTACACACACACACACACACACACACTTACACTCCAATACACACACACACTTAATTTGCTCACACACACAACACGCACACACATTCATACTGACTCTACACACACACACACACACACAATCAGCATATACATATACTGTATATACTGTATATAGCTACTGACCCTGGAACTGAGCCTGTATATAGCTACTGACCCTGGAACTGTCCCTGTATATAGCTACTGACCCTGGAACTGTCCCTGTATATAGCTACTGACCCTGGAACTGTCCCTGTATATAGCTGACTTACTTTCTCCTGTTCTTGTTATTTCTGTTTCTTGTGTGTTTCTGTTCTACTTTACTTTATTTTATAGTATCATATTTTCACTATTGATATTGACTACTGCATTGTTGGGAAAACAAAATAAAGGTATTTTACTGTTCTAGTGCACGTACTGTAGCCTTTGGCTGGTCTTCAGAAGGAGAGCTGTGGGAGAACTTGCGTGGGTTGAGGGAGGTGTGGGGGGTACAGTGTGTTTCTGGATGGCCCTGGAAGTGAAGAGCGGTGGGGTACAGGAGCCACTTCCCATTGGACAGCTCATGAGGCCACATTATGTTGAGGAAGGCGGAGCCTAGAGTCTGCAGGGACGGCCCGGTGTTGGTCACCTAATCAAAACATGGAGAATTGATTGATTAGTTGAATGAAACACGGTCAATATAAAATGATTATGATCAAAACAAATTATTACTTGAAATATTATCTAAAGCTTACAATTGAGCCTATGCTAAGCCTGGCCCCCTTGGTTACTGTTTTGTAACCTCTGACAACATTTTCCCGGAAAGCCCAATTCCCCATTCAACCACTGGCGAAATCTCCTCAAACTGATCTCAAAATGTGTTTGTAATACACAACGAAACTACCTCTTACTAATCAAGAAACGATTGGGTATGTTGTGGTAAACTGTTGTAGTGTCTGAGAGTTTATGATTTTGCTGACGTTTGCAAATGGTGTGTTAGAGGAACTTGGCTCTGCTTGCTGAAACATCTGGAAAGCATTACTACATAGGTTTCTTGGAATAGAGGACATTGGGAGAGTCTGCTATGTAGAGGCCAGGGATTGGTTTATTAAAATCACACCATATTATGTTACATAGGATATAAATACTTGGTTGAGACAAAGGAGGGGGAGACAACAGATTGGCCCGTTGTTCTCCAGATGCTGGCAGATATCTGTAAATTGATACTGTGATCTTTGATACAATAAAATCTTTATAATCAAAGTACAGTGTAAGCGGACTTCTTATCATCACAGCATAGATCAGCATCGTTGTCTTGGACCACCACATTTAATGGTGACAAGGTTTTTTGGGTCGTGTTACGTCTTTTCTCTGCATTCCATTCATGGGCTGCGAAGTGACTCCTGCTCAAGACGCCGGCAGATAAGGTGAGATTTCTCACAGTTTTGGGCGCTGGTCAGTTCATGTGCTTGTGTGTGTGTATGTGCATTCAGACGTACCGTTAAAGGACTTGTGTGTGCGCTTTGCTGTTATTTGCTGTGTGATGGGAATCCGTTCTAAAATTCTAAATTTGTTTGCGTTGGGAACAATGCAAACAGGGGGGAATGTATATAGGAATTATTAACACTGGGCACACATATTTTGGCTTGGAAAAAAGTGTGAGAGAGTGTCCAGGAAAAGCATGAAGGAATAAGGCCAGGAAATAAGGAAAAAGTATACTTTTAGGACGTCGCTGATTAAGGAAGCCCTCAAACGAGGCGATCATTAAGATGGGCCATAAATCCTGGGAGTCATTAGATTGACTGTCGGGTCAGTTCTGGGAACTGTCAGTTGTAGAATATACATTCAATTGCACGTTACCTCTCGGAATATATTTGACGAAGTATATATCCGAAGTAACCTCTCATTGAATTTTCTGCAACTCGAGGTAGCAGAAATTTAGTAAGGTACAAAGGAAATAAGGAGCGACAGTAGCATGCTTAATGTATTGGATGAACGGATGCATTCTTGTTTAAACTGTGTATGCGTGTGTGTGGGAGACAAGGAGAGCCTATGTCTCTGTGTGTGTGTGAGTGAGAGAGCCTACGCGGGTGTGTGAGTACATGGAGAGGTCTCTGATGTGTTCCAGCTGTGTGTCGACTAGGCTATGACAACAGGGGTTTTAGTTTTTTGTAAGGAAATATGTTAGTTATGGTTAAAACCTTATGAGTCTCCGTTAGAGAGAACTTTTAATACTTGTTAAAAACTATGAGCCCCTGGGAGGATGATTATTTGTAATGGATTAGAAAATAACTATGAATCTGCAGATTAGAATAATTAAACATAACAAACTTCGAAGTAGGATTTCTGTTTTATGTTGGTTTGTGAGTTTTGTTAAGTGTTACTGTTTGTCAAAGGGGGGAGCAAGCGGAGCGACAGCGGGTCTGTCTGCTCTGTTGTTTGGACTTGGAGGGAGCTGCCTGAGAGCTCCATCCACTCTGAAATCGCACTGGTGAATGAACTACGCACGCGTGGGATTTTATGTGTTTAGAGTTACGTAGAGCAAATATGCCACTCCCCTGCCTGCACTGAGCTGCTGTGACATGCAGACAGAGTAGAGAGGGAGATGGACACTTACATACGATTAAGGTATTCTGTTTGATAAGTGGCTGTTGTTTAACTATGAAACTATTTGATTGAATTGATAAATGAGAGAGATATGTTGACGGATTAAAAATAAATAAATAATTAAATAAATACATAAAATTAAATGTTATTGAGCTATTTATAATATTCCTGAGTTAAGCTGTTTGCTTATTGCTTAGCGCGAATGTGAACATAGGAGTGCATAAAATACTAAATTATTGTCTGTTTCTTTGTTCTTCTGTCATGTGAGAGACGATAAGAAGGAGGAGAGAGAGAGAGAGGAGGTGCTGACAACGGATCAACTGCAACTAAGGCCAGTACTGTTTTATCCACAAAACCCACTTTCCCTTACAGGATATAATAGAAACATTGTGTATGCATAGAATATTTCATGTTGTGACCATTTCACAGGAACTTGGCAACAGACTGATGAATTGATGTACTTGATAATTCCACATTAGGGTTTTTGTGAATGAGTTGTTTTGATTAGAGTGGTGTTGGAAATCCAACACTGACATTATTCTGTAAAATTAAGGTAATTGGGTGATTATTAAGCAATTGGTTTGTGAGTGCTGTAGTGTTACTGGATTACAGGTCTTTGTTTTTTGGATTGCTCTGAAGTTGACTACTTTCCTTTACTTTTCCTGAATGGATGTGGTAAGATTGCCACTAATCAATAATTTGATAAAATAAAAATAATAAAATACATTGATATATTGATTAATTGATTAATTGATTAATTAATTAATTTTAATTAATAAATAAAAAAATATATATTTTCAAATAAAAATAACAATAAAAAGGAGAGAATGGGGAAAAAGGACATCAAAACTATGAAAGTAATTACTCCTGTTGATGTAGTAGAAAATAGTAATCCTTTAGTTAATGGTATTGCAAGGTTATCTGGAAAAGGGAATAAACGTTGGCCTGACATTGAACAACCATGGCTAGTGGAAGGGACTCTTAACCCTGATGTCATCAACATGATGAAAGTGCTTGAATAATAGAGAGAGGAAAAGCAGAAACGACAATAAAGATGAATCCAAAACTCCAAAAGTAGGAAGAAAACGAGATGTCTGGAAACTAAGGGTGGAGTGAGGTTCAGGAGGATGGACCTTGAAGATGATGATGATGATGATGAGAGTGATTCAGAAGAGATCATGGGTGGATATGACCCTGTGATCAGACAGAGGTTGGCCAGAGCGGAAAGAAGGGGTGATGGAAGTTGGAAGAAGAAGAATACAAGAGATTCGAGTTCTGATGAAAGTAAAGATGGAGACAGCGATGAAGATTTGGAGATTAAAGGTGCTTCATATTCAAGAGGATTTTATCCTACAATGACTAGCACAGAAGAAATAGAACAAGACATAGATCGATGCATATCATGCCTGGATAAGGCCAATAATTTAGAAGAAGTAAGACAATTGGAAGAACAACTCAAGAAGCTGAAGATACAGAAGAAAAAACTGATGAAAAAAGGATCCCAAGAATTGGAGAAGAAGTATACATTAAGGCCAAGACAAGGGAGCACCAGTAAGAAGATGATGGCAGTGATCATTCGAGGACAAAACCTGTAGTATAAGCCTTTGCAGAATACCGATATGTCAGATATACTTGAGAAGCTGCCTACTCTTCAAGATGGAGCATATCCTTGGATTTCAAAGTTGGAAGAAATTATGGTGGGAACATAGTCAGCCATAGGAGACATTTAGAGACTTTTGGCTAATCTCTTTGGGATTCCAGATATGGAAGAAATATTTCAGAGAACGTGACTTCATAGATATGTGGGGACTGCAGTGAACGACCCTGAATTGTTGGCTGCAAGTAGAAATCGGCTGTGGAGAGCACTGAAAGATACGTTTCCAACAAATGTGCATCCTGACAACATTCTGATTGATCCACTAGGACAACAAGAAAATCCGAGAGCCTACGTGTCAAGAGTTCATCAAGTGTGGAGAAATATTACCGGAAATGATCCAGATGTGAGTCAAATTGAGCAGTCAATTTTGAGAGCTAAACTGCAGATAGGACTGCCCTCACCAGTAAGGAGCAAACTGGCAGAGGTGGTTGGACTTGGAAGCATGACAAAAGGTGTCTATAGAGATTATATAGCTCATCAAGTGGATCTGTACCGGAAAAAGGAACACAACCAGAAAGAACAGGACCAAGAAACTCTCAGAAAACTCAATGAAATACAACTGGGGGAGAATAAGAAGGAGAAGAAAAGCTTTGGTTATGAAGAATCAGTGTGAACCAAATCAACAATCACTGCTACAGCTTCAACTGAACAAGGTCAAATGCAATTGTACCAGCCACCAATAGTGGTACAAGTTGTTTCATATCCACAGCCAGTTTCTGGACAGAGACAGAATTGGAGAGGAAGAGGACGAGAAGGCTTAGGAAGAGGAAGAGGAGGGTGGGCCAGAAGGAAACACCAGAGGGAATTTCAGAGGAAGATACAGGAGCAAGTGAAGATCATCTGGAGGAAGAGGAGGGTGGGCCATTACAATCACTTCACGGGAAGCTGGTAAAATTATGTTTGTAATGTAGAATTAACTGTCAGCAAGAAAACAAAGTTATATGAAGCTAGCTAGCGTTTGGAACGTTTGGTGTTCAATGAGACTGAGAGCTAGCTAACCAGCTGAGCTAGCTAACAATGTAACAAAAGTATAATTTCGGATTTGAAAAGTACTCCATCGACAGGCTCTTCATTTCAGGAATCACAGTAGCAAGTACTCCTGGCGCATTGTTAAATTATTTAGCCATTTAAACAATACAATACATACACTCTCCGTTTATGCCATACCCTCACTGGCTTTCATGTGATTTAAACGTGAGCTTGTCCAATGTGTCGGACTCATCCAATAGTGTGTGATTGTGGCCCGCATATGGGCATTCCTGCATCTGCAGGAACACTCCCCACTAGAGCATTGGGATCTGCATGAACACTGTCTACCGTGTTGCCCCCCGCCTCCCGCCTGTGTACCAGAGCCCTAGCTAGCTAGCACACAGCGTCCTTCGCTCCCACCTGCCCTCGCTGTTGTTGACAGAACTGCGGGAAACCAGTACCTGACAGGCGGAGGCAAAGGACACTGTTTTAGCTTCTTCTGTGGGGTTTATCGGCGGTTGGCGTCCAACGTTATGGTGCATTAGGGCCACCTACTGTACTGGAGCGCTCCCGCCTTTGTACCGGAGTCCTAGATTAAAAATGGACCAATAGAAAGAAGGGGTTCGTGCAGATGCATGAACGCGGCGAATCGCCGGCCGCAATCACACCCTTGACTGGATGACAGTTGCTATCCATTGGAACGCTGTGATTGGTTGCCCAGAATTCTGGGGCGGGGCTTAGCGAAGGGTTAATTTAGTGGCCACGTTTTTTCTCCTGTTCACAGCGATAGAAAGATGCTATGCTACACTGTCATGCTACACCGTCTCTTGTTCTCAAAAATAGGAAATAGAGGAACTCAATGGAAATAAGCCCTCTGATGTTATTGTCTTATTGAATGTAATTTTATTTTGGATAAAAATAACATATACTGCAAATCCAGCACGTTGTGGATTTGATCCCATGTGATAACATTTGAAAGCATGAATTACAACACTTATTTCTAAAGTGGTCCTCAATATATGTGGGTCGTTTGTGGGTCGCGTCTGGGTCGTTCCACAAAAAAGAGTGCCTTTTGCTTCTCATTGATATTTTAAGTAGAAATTGTGCACCAATATTTAATTTTAAAAGCCTGCTATATTAAATGAAGTGCCCTTGGCTTTAATATAGACCACATAGAGAATTCAAAAATCTGAATAAATGCTTGCTAAAGTGCAAAAATTCAGCATTTTGACAATGACATTGAAAGTCTAATAGTCAAACCATAGTGTAAAAACAGATGACATAGTTGTACTATTTTTGGTCATTTTCTGGTGTTTCGTGGAAAACTGAGCGGGTTGAGCATAACGTAGATAGACAGGCTAGAAATATTTTTGCAATTTCCTTTTTTTGTGAAGCTTGCATTGCCACTTCCTGCTGCACACAACAAGCTTCCATTCCCCCTGTCACGGGGGGATTCATGGCTGATTTAAGATGAAATCGTCAACCTTGTTACGGTCAACCCTGATACGGTCCACCCTGTTACGGTCAACATGTTACGGTCAACCCTGTTACTTTATTTGGCACTTAATAGGTACTTACTATAGTCATTTTTATATTTACAATGGAAAACGTGTTTTTTATGAAGTTGAACATGTGCTCCTTCTGACAGAATGTTAAAATTAGGTGAAATCAAAATGTGTTTTTTTTTCCACCAAGTTACACTTCTCAAAAAGGCACCGAATTGGTGGAACGATCCATGTAATATTTTCTGTTGGCTATTTTTAATTGTCAAATAAAAAGAAATGATCAATCAATCAATCTCACCGTAAACTCAAACTCCAGAGCGGTGCCCACGTCGTCCAGTGTCTCCATAGCGCTCTCCCCCTTCACAGCCCCACTGAAGAACAGCTGGTGTGGCCGGGCCAGCCTGAATCAACACAGAAACAGACAGAGGGTTAGGGTTAGTGGGCTAATGGACAGAGCCTGACACAGCCTTATGGTACCATTGTTTACTGTGTCAGATTGACATTGGCTACTGAATCATAGGACTTGGTCCTGTTCAAATACCTATGGAAAGGGTTCTATCTTTTCCATCCTTCCTGGGATATTTGAATTAGTGATGATTTGAAGGAGGGAGGGAGGGAGGGGGGAGGGAGGATGGAGGGAGTTAGGGGGGAGGGTGGGGAGGGGAGGGGGGAGGGGCAAGGGAGGGAGGGAGGGAGGGAGGGAGGGAGGGAGGGAGGGAGGGAGGGAGGGAGGGAGGGAGGGAGGGAGGGAGGTGATGCATTAGAGAAGCATTGGGACAAATCCTAAGTGATAACTTAGAGTGCAGTACTTGCCCACTGACAGCCAGAGGGAGCTCTATGATGACTTTGGCCACGGCTGTGACTGGGGCCAGGTCTGGCTGCTCACTGATACTGAGGAGGAGACAACCCCACACACAGTGAGGACACATTACATCATAGACAGTAGGCGGAAACTAACACTGAGTTAAATGGACCAACTGCTGAGGAGAGACACATGTAGACACTTAGGTTTCCTGGACACATATTAAGCTCAGGACCAAGAAGCACTTTCAGATTTTTTGATTGAGCATGGTTTTATGCTCAGGTCTAGGCTTATTTGGGTCCTGGAGACTGGCTCATTCAGGACCTAATCTTCAAGTAGTTGTCCATCCAGGACTTACGTAGCCAGCAGGAGGTTGACAGTGAGTTCCGTGGTCTCTATGGTGATAGCAGAGGTGCTGAGGATGATGTAGAACTTCAGTGTAGCATCTCTCTTCAGGGGGTTTCCCAGCTCGCACTCTGCCTGAGAGCCATTCTGATTGGCCTGACACACCACCTACACACAGGAAACAGGAAACACAGTCAGGTTCAGCAGAGTTCCATTACCTCAGGATGGATGGGAGACAGTAGCCAGTTAACTCAGGAAGGATGGGAGACAGTAGCCAGTTAACTCAGGATGGATGGGAGAGAGTAGCCAGTTAACTCAGGAAGGATGGGAGACAGTAGCCAGTTAACTCAGGATGGATGGGAGACAGTAGCCAGTTAACTCAGGAAGGATGGGAGACAGTAGCCAGTTAACTCAGGATGGATGGGAGACAGTAGCCAGTTAACTCAGGAAGGATGGGAGACAGTAGCCAGTTAACTCAGGATGGATGGGAGACAGAAGCCAGTTAACTCAGGAAGGATGGGAGACAGTAGCCAGTTAACTCAGGATGGATGGGAGACAGGTAACTCCTCCAGTTAACTCCTCTGCTGATTTGACCATACATAGGGCTCTGAGTTTTACGTGACCATGAGTAAGTCAGGGTTATTCCTGGCCAGGTCACGGGGTTAAATCCACTCTTGGATCGTAGTGTTGTGTACTAACTGGCTTAATAAAAAGGTATAGTATGTGCTGGAGAAATGGTGTGTGTGGGCTCTACTTTTACAAGCCAGAGGAGGACAGGGTGTCTGGCAGGGAGACCAGTAGCCTACCTGTTGTCCCCTGAAGCCAGAGTAAGACAGGGTGTCTGGCAGGGTGACCAGCAGCCTACCTGTTGTCCCCTGAAGCCAGAGTAAGACAGGGTGTCTGGCAGGGAGACCGGTAGCCTACCTGTTGTCCCCTGAAGCCAGAGTAAGACAGGGTGTCTGGCAGGGTGACCACTAGCTGGGCGGCGTGGGCGTCGTCACCGTCCTCCTCGGGGTGCAGAGGGTCAGAGGGCATGTTGGTGACGGTCACCTCCAACACCACAGACCTCTGGTCAGTCAGAGAGAACACTGCCACCTCCTCATCATCTCTGGGTATGACATGAGGACGAGGAAAGTATAAAAGAAGTGGTTAGATGTGAAGGAACAGAAGAGTGAAAACAAAATGGTGGAATGATACGTTACCACATCTCAGGAAGGAGGAGGATACACGCAGAGTTGTTAGAGGAAGAGGAACAGCAGAATAGATACAGTGGTTCCGAAATGAACTTTTTAAAGGAACTCAGTACGGCTTTAAATTTACCCTTAAAAGTTGTAATAGTAGAATACAATTTCGAAATGTCATGTTAGTCATTGCAAAACCTTAGAGAGCTATTTATAACTTGTCAGACATGTCCAGATCAACTAGTCCATGTCAGCTGACACGTTTTTTTTAGTTCGGTTTTTTTAGGCCAAAGATATTGTTGTAATTTTTTTGTCACTCAAATATCACATGAATACACATTAGACATGGCAAAATGTATAGAATTGCAAGAAAATGTGCTTTAAATGGCAACATTTTCTTTGCACCCCATGACAAAATGTGTAGAATTGCAGGAAATAAACTCTCCACCAACAAGCGGGGGGTGAACAGTTTGTGTCCATGGAAATAGACGTGGCGCGTGCAGGGGGGGAGGGGGGGGGGGGGGGGCATGTTCCCCAATGCTGGAAGGGGTGCCCTGAGTGAAAAAGTTTGGGAACCCCTGGAATAGAAGGTTAGAAGGTGATATGTTTAAACTCATAGTAAACAGCTATTGGAACAGCTCAATGCCTCATCTCTGGATATGAGAGAGGGTTAGGAAATATAAAAGCGTATTCCTACTAACTTTGGCAGAGGGGTGAAGAGGTCAGAGGTTATAGGTCGGGTTCCAAACTGGTAGGTGAACTTCAGGTTGCTCTGACAGATCTTATCATCACCACAGCCTTCCCTCAGGAAATTCACCTGCAACGGAGGAGACAGACTTCAGATCAGGCAAGGACATGGAAAAAAAGTCACTGTGGGAAACCACCCAAGTTGATCCTGTTGGTGTGGAACTGACCTCAGAGTGCAGGGTGTTGGAGGTGGCAACACTCAGTACAGGAGGTAGCGTGTGTCGTTCCACTGGGTGAGTGTCTGAGGAGAACACAGGGGGTTTGATGGTGTGGGTGATGGTCAGGGAGATGGGACGCAGCTTGTCACGGATATTCTCCTGCACCGGAAAGAATGATTAAACGATTATTCAATGAGATTACATTATATGGAAGTCAATTGGTATCTATCTACAAATTATCTTGGAGTTTATGACTATAGCAGACCTGGGTTGAAATAATATTTGTTTTCATTCAGCTTTTATTTAACTTTTTAGACTACTATTCCTTTGATCATTTACAGATAAGCAAAATAAATCTTAAATACTAGTTCTTCCCAGGTTTGGAACACTATGCAACATCTAAAGCAGCAACAACAACAACAACAACAGCAACAACAACAACAACAACAACAACAACAACAACAAGCATCTGTTCTCGACTATCAGCCCTTACGTGTAGTTGGAAGGTGGCGCTCCGGCAGGCGGGATGACGTTGACCCTTCAGCTCCAACTCGTCAGTGTGTGTGTACTCCGCCTCCTGTGCACTCCGACCCAGGAAGCTAACACGGTGGGGCAGGCCCAGCTTCCTGCGCTCGGTGTCAGCCTCGAAGAGTAGGACCAGAGCTAGAAGGGAGGGGGGGAGGGAGGGAGGGAGGGAGGTAGGGATGGAGGGAGGGGAAATGTCAGCACACCAGAGAAGAGCTCAGCTTACTTGAAGCACAGACTGACTGGAGTAACAAACATCATTCAACAAAGAAGAAATAACAATTTCTAAACAGAGGTGTAACTTACTGATGTCTGGTGAGTAAGACTCTGGATATGCAGTAAAGGTGAAGCACACTTTGACCTCCACACTAACGACAGAAAACAACAGAGTTGACAGAGTCCTGTTTTAATTCACAACAGCAGAAACACAATAGCCTGGTTGCCAGTCTTCCACTAACTCCTTCATGGTTGGCTGAAGATGAAGAGAAGACTGGTAACCAGGCTATATGAACACACGAGACGAAGAGTATGATGAATCGGTGAATGCAACCTACCACACCCCATCTCTCCCCTTGCAGTTGTGTTGCTCCAAGTCAATATACTGCTGAGGTTCAACGAATACGTCCCGAGTCACATGAATGACCGGGTGAGACCTGTACAGAACCATCTTATCACCGAGAGAGCCTACTGCCAGGTCAGGGTACAGGTTCCCATCGATATCCAGGCCTCCTGAGATGGAGTAGCCGAACCTTTTCACCCCCTCGTCCACCCCGTCCAGGATCTGAGAGGGCGGAGTATAAATAACGTAAATGATGGGAGGGGTTAAATGGAATGGACAATAAAGCTTTTTGGTATTACATTAAATTCTCACCTGTGCAGGCTTGGTGTGGATGCCTGAGGACGAGCCTCGGTAGATGAACACTTTGCCATCTCCGTCGAACGGAGCCCCCACAGCGATGTCTGGATGGGGAGAGACAAACACAGATATACACTCCTGAATCAGGAGATTCTCCTGCCCCTGTGGGCCGTTCTGGCTTACTTTAATGGCAACGGCAGTATGCAGGATTTATGTTTTCAACAGTCGCTATACATCCCAAATAGCACCCTATTCCCTACATAGTGCACCACTTGTGACCAGGGACCATAGGGGCTCTGGTAAAAAGTAGTGCACTACATAGGGAATAGGGTGCCTTTTGGGACACAGATTATATGTATGAACAGTTGCTCGGTCCCCTCTGTCCACTCAGTCCCTTCATGCAGTCGATGAATGCACTTTAAATAAAGTTTGATTTGATCGAGTCAGTCCTCACCATCATATCCGTCCCGGTCCAGGTCTCCTACATTGTTGACGGTCAGCCCAAACATGGAGTCATAGGTTCCGTTGAGCCTGATTGGCCGAGCATACTCCCAGTTACCGAATGGGTTCAGGAAGACGTACACAGCACCTCCGATCTCTGTCTTCCTGTCAAAGTAGTTAGGAGCTCCCACTATCAGGTCTGTCCAGCTGAGAGAGAGGACCGGGAGTTTAAAGTTTCAAAATGTATTTGGGTAAATCCGTTTGAATTCAATCAGTTTTTGACAGCAACCCTTTTCATTTAAACAAAACTTTCCACACATGTTTGGAAGAAGTGGTCAGAAAGTGACTTTTTAGACATTCAGGAGATAAAGGTGCTCAAAGTTGCAACTTATATATGCCACCTAAACTCAGCAAAAAAAGAAACGTCCTCTCACTGTGAACTGCGTTTATTTTCAGCAAACGTGTAAATATTCAAGATTCAACAACTGAGACATAAACTGAACAAATTCCACAGACATTTGACTAACAGAAATGGAATATTGTGTCCCTGAACAAAAGGGGGGGGGGGGGGGGGGGGTCAAAATCAAAAGTAACAGTCAGCATCTGGTGTGGCCACCAGCTGCATTAAGTACTGCAGTGCATCTCCTCCTCATGGACTGCACCAGATTTGCCAGTTCTTGCTGTGAGATGTTACCCCACTCTTCCATCAAGGCACCTGCAAGGTCCCGTACATTTCTGGGGGGAATGGCCCTAGCCCTCACCCTCCGATCCAACAGGTCCCAGACGTGTTCAATGGGATTGAGATCCGGGCCCTTTGCTGGCCATGGCAGAACACTGACATTCCTGTCTTGCAGGAAATCACACACAGAACGAGCAGTATGGCTGGTGGCATTGTCATGCTGGAGGGTCATGTCAGGATGAGCCTGCAGGAAGGGTACCACATGAGGGAGGAGGATGTCTTCCCTGTAACGCACAGCGTTGAAATTGCCTGCAATGACAACAAGCTCACCTCCAAATCCATCCCGCTCCAGAGTACAAGCCTCGTGTGTAACGCTCATTCCTTCGACAATAAACGCGAATCCGACCATCACCCCTGGTGAGACAAAACCGCGACTCGTCAGTGAAGAGCACTTTTTCCAGTCCTGTCTGGTCCAGCGACGGTGGGTTTGTGCCCATAGGCGACATTGTTGCCGGTGATGTCTGGTGAGGACCTGCCTTACAACAGGCCTACAAGCCCTCAGTCCAGCCTCTCTCAGCCTATTGCGGACAGTCTGAGCACTGATGGAGGGACTGTGCGTTCCTGGTGTATCTCGGGTAGTTGTTGTTGCCATCCTGTACCTGTCCCGCAGGTGTGCTGTTCGGATGTACCGATCATGTGCAGGTGTTGTTACACGTGGTCTGACACTGCGAGGACGATCAGCTGTCCGTCCTGTCTCCCTGTAGTGCTGTCTTAGGCGTCTCACAGTACGGACATTGCAATTTATTGCCCTGGCCACATCTGCAGTCCTCATGCCTCCTTGCAGCATGCCTAAGGCACGTTCACGCAGATGAGCAGGGACCCTGGGCATCTTTCTTTTGGTGTTTTTCATAGTCAGTAGAAAGGCTTCTTTAGTGTCCTAAGTTTTCATAACTGTGACCTTAATTGCCTACCGTCTGTAAGCTGTTAGTGTCTTAACGACCGTTCCACAGGTGCATGTTCATGAATTGTTTATGGTTCATTGAACAAGCATGGGGAAACAGTTTAAATTATTTTACAATGAAGATCTGTGAAGTTATTTGGATTTCTACGAATTATCTTTGAAAGACAGGGTCCTGAAAAAGGGATGTTTACATACAGGGTCGGTGCCAGTACCGTAGTTACAATGTGCAGGACTACTGGAGTAATTTATGTAAATATGTACATGTAAACAGGGGTAAAAAGTGACTGATGGATAAATACTAGTGGTGATAATAATCAATAGCAGCAGCATAAGAGGAGGGAGGGAGGGAGGAGGGAGGGAGGGAGGGAGGGAGGGAGGGAGGGAGGGAGGGAGGGAGGGAATCATGGGTTCAAATGAGAAGATGATTAATACAAATTAGCAACATCTGTCACTCAAATAATATCCCCAATGGTACTGAGGTTCTTCAGAAATCCTGGTCAGAGGATTCCCAGTTCTAGCATTTCATCCTTTCCTAATCCCTCCTGATACCGGAAAACCTCCAACATTGATTTCTGAAAATCCTGGTTTATCTGGGGATTTTGCAACCTTACTCCCCCATCACTGTTGAGACATGGCTACAGAGTATCTGTGTATGCATTCCTTGTACACTGCTATCAATAGGATCATTAGTAGTAGTGGTAGACATGCAGTATATGTGACTCTCACCCATCACTGTTGAGATCAGCCGTAGTCACAGAGTAGCCGAAGGAAGAAGCCAGTTCCTCTCCCCACAGGATGTGCTGTGGCACAAGGCGGTACATGTTGTCTTTACGCAGCAGCACCACCGCTCCCGTGTGATTGGCTCTCGGAGCCCCCGACACAAAGGTCAGCTCCCCACGGCTCATTATGCCCTTAGCAGAGTCCACCGAGAATCCTGGAGCAAGGCATCACGGGATAACAGTTATTAGAAGTAGACTGTGTGTGTGTGTGTGTGTGTGTGTGTGTGTGTGTGTGTGTGTGTGTGTGTGTGTGTGTGTGTGTGTGTGTGTGTGTGTGTGTGTGTGTGTGTGTGTGTGTGTGTGTGTGTGTGTGTGGACTGTATATCGACCATAGTCTCTCTCTCTGTGAGCTCATCTCCTTCACTGTTCTCTCATCCCTGTTGTAATAAAATGTGGCCTAAGTGGCTATTGATTTAACGGCAAACACATGATGAGTGTAATGTCCCTTAGTTTGCAGGCAGCTCTCTCTGCCTGCCTGTCAGAGAGAGCCGCCTGCCTGTCAGAGAGAGCTGTCTGCCTGTCAAAGAGAGCTGCCTGCCTGTCAGAGAGAGCTGCCTGCCTGTCAGAGAGAGCTGCCTGCCTGTCAGAGAGAGCTGCCTGCCTGTCAGAGAGAGCTGCCTGCCTGTCAGAGAGAGCTGCCTGCCTGTCAGAGAGAGCCGCCTGCCTGTCAGAGAGAGCTGCCTGCCTGTCAAAGAGAGCTGCCTGCCTGTCAGAGAGAGCGGCCTGCCTGTCAGAGAGAGCCGCCTGCCTGTCAGAGAGAGCTGCCTGCCTGTCAGAGAGAGCAGGGTGTGTATGTGTGTGTTTGTGTCTTCTCCTTCATACAGAGATAAAGACTAGGCCCATGTGTGTGTGTGGTAGGAAGACAAACATGAGGTAATGTCTTAGCAGATCCATGGTGTTACTATAATGCAGCAGATGTTCCTGCTCAGGAAGCATGTAAACAGAGCAGTCTAGCATTCATCTTCATTTCTACTTGAATGGGATTTACTCCCTCGGGATTGTGAGGGGTGTGTCTGCATACAAATCTGGTAGAGTGAAATAGTGAAAATAGTGAAAGAGGAGGGAATTGAACGTGCACGTGGTGTGACATGAGCATGTGAAAATGTAACTTTGTTTCAACAACCTGTGAAAAATATCAGATACAAATCAAATAATTTAAGAAAAGAAACAGGCAAACACACTAAACAGCTACAGCTATATTCTATTCCAACATGCGGCGGTGTGAGGGGGAGAAGAGAGGAGAGGATTGGCAGGGACCTGTGTTAGTCCAGGGTCAACATGCAAGGAGACGAACACAGCGACTGTGTCTGAAAACATTACTAGCCATCAAATCCTTGGAAACAAGGATAGAGAAAGCAATGATTTGACAGCTAGTAACGTTTTTCAAACAGGCATAAAGACAGACGATAGCATCTCGTAGACAAACAGACACACAGACACATACTGAGCGGCTCCAGGGAGACAGGTGTGTGTAATGCTACAGTTGGAGTTGTGAACCAGTAAAACAAAGGCCCAAATATCACAGAAGTCACATTACAACTCCAGTAAGGCTTTTAGTGGCCACCCGGACTATTTACATTGACACCCGCCTCCATTTGTTTTTACACTGCTGCTACTCGCTGTTTATTATCTATGCATAGTCACTTTACCCCTACCTACATGTACAAATGACCACGACTAACCTGTACCCCCGCACATTGACTCGGTACCGGTACCCCCTGTATATAGCCTCGTTATTGTTATTTTATTGTGTTACTTTTTATTTTTATTTAATTTTTTACTTTATTTAGTAAATCTTTTCTTAACTCTTTCTTGAACTGCATTGTTGGTTAAGGGCTTGTAAGTAAGCATTTCACGGTAAGGTCTACACCTGTTGTAATCGGCGCATGTGACAAATAAATTGTGATTTGATTTGATTAGTGAGGCCTTTAGTGACAGATGACAGCTACGTTTTCCTTTTACGCAGCACTCTGATCTGCTCTTTCTTTTACTCAGAAGTCCAATCTTCTATGTAAAGATATAAAGGGAACCAAGGCTTTATCCTGCAATGTTTTTAAAAGCCGAATGGGGCACAACGGGTTGGGAAATGGGGCCCCTGAGGAACGACATCAAACACAGTTGTGTTGTGCAGCTGTCAAAAGTGTCAACCCTCACGGTTGTAAGGTTTATGTTGGGTTAAACTATGTGGTAAAAAAAAAAAAAAAGTTACATAGCCCTAGAATCAGCTGAAAGCTACACTGTAAATTGATCTTAATGGATCTAAATATATTGTTGCTACTTTACTTACATTATCTGATGTCATATTTTATCAGTAGTTTTCAGTGGGGGGTTTTCTTTTAACGGAACATCGTGTGAGTCCGAGATTTAAAAATCTAGAAAACTGACATTTCGCTTTTCATTGGCTGTATTTATTTTGGCAGGAATTCTGGAAAAACTCGGCCTGACTGATCAGTTGACTAGGCGGGGCTCCCTATCCAATGATCATCTGATTTAATGAGGAGAAACACAGTGTAAAACTGGTGCAGCTGGGTACTGACTGGATACTATGGATCACTCAGTCGAGAGACTAGGGGCCAGTTTCCCAGACACATATGAAGCCTAGTCCAGGACTAAGAATTACTTTCAAAAGAGAGTCTCCATTGAGCACATGCTTTTCAGTCCAGAACTAGGCTGAAACTGTTTCCGGGAAACAAGCCCTATACAGAAAACATTATATTATTGTACTATATATTATACTATATATCATACTATTATACTATATATCATACTATTATTATACTATATATCATACTATATATTATGCTATATACTATAGTATTATTATACTATATATTATTCTATATATCATACTATTATTGTACTATATATTATACTATATATCATACTATTATTATACTATATATCATACTATTATTATACTATATGTTATACTATATATCATACTATATAATATACTATATATCATACTATGTATTATACTATATATCATACTATATATTATACTATTATTATACTATATATTATACTATTATTATACTATACACTGAGTGTCCTAAACATTAAGAACACTTTCCTAATATATGGCCCATGTTGACTCCAGTGCTTCCCACAGTTGTATCAAGTTACTGGATGTCCTTTGGGTGGTGGACCATTCTTGTTACACACGGGAAACTGTTGAGCGTGAAAAACCCAGCAGTGTTGCAGTTCTTGACACAAACCGGTGTGCCTACTACCATACCCTGTTTAAAGGCACTTCAATCTTTGTTTTTTGCCCAGGACCAGTGTTTACTATGGCTGACCCTGTAAAAAACAAATTTCATGCACCTATCATACTAACTATACTGAAACGTAAAACAACCACATTCACACTGCACCTTCATACTCTATGGACTGACCCTGTAAACACACGCATTACTACTGAACCTATCATACTACTATGGCTGATACCTGTAAAACACTACATTTCCTGCAACTTATCATACTACTATGACTGAAAAACTGTAACAACACACACTTACCTGCACCTATCAGATACTACTATGCCTGTCCCTTAAAACCACGCATTAACACTGCACCTATCAATACTACTATGGCTGACCCTGTAAAACAACACATTCACTAACTTATCCTGTTATTGACCAATAAAGCAATGAAACAATAATAATTCTGCATTTACATTTAATTTAATTCTGAATTTAAGTAAACTGAAAAATAACCAGTAATAACACTACTGTCTGTCTATAAATAACCAGTAATAACACTACTGTCTGTCTATAGATAACCAGTAATAACACTACTGTCTGTCTATAAATAACCAGTAATAACACTACTGTCTGTCTATAGATAACCAGTAATAACACTACTGTCTGTCTATAAATAACCAGTAATAACACTACTGTCTGTCTATAACATCACACTACTGTCTGGTCTATAGATAACCAGTTAAATAACACTATACTGTCTGTCTAATAAATAAACCAGTTAATAACACTACTGTCTGTCATATAAATAACCAGTAACTAACACCACTGTCCTGGTCTATAATACCCGTATAACCTACTGTCTGTCCTATAATACCATAAATAAACTACTGTCTGTCCTATAAATAACCCGTAATAACACTTACGTCTTGTCTATCAATAACCAGTAATAAACACTACTGTCTGTCCTATAATCACCAGTAATAACACCACTGTCTCTATAGATAACAGTAATAACAACTACTGTCTGTCCATAATAACCAGTAACTAACACTACATGTCATCGTCTATAAATAACCAGTAATACCACTACTGTCTGTCTATAAATCAACCAGTAATAACACTACTGTCTTCGGTCAATAAATGAACCGGTAATAACACTAATGGTTGTCTATAAATAACCAGTAATCAACATGCTGTATCGTCTATAAATAAAACCAGTACCAACACTACTGTCTGTCGATAAATAACCAGCTAATAACACTACTGGTCCTGGTCTATAGATCAACCAGTAAATAAAACACTACTGTCTGTCTATAAATAACCAGTTAATAACATTACTGTCTAGTCTATAAATAACCAGTAATAACAACTACTGTCTGTCTATAGATAACCAGTAATAACACTACTGTCTGTCTATAAATAACCAGTAATAAACCTACTGTCTGTCTATAAATAACCAGTTAACAAAACTACCATGTCTGGTCTATAAATAAACCAGTAATAACACTACTGTCTGTCTATAAATACCAGTAATAACACTACTGTCTGTCTATAATAACCAGTAATAACACTAGTCTGTCTATAAAATAACGCAGTAATAACACTACTGTCTGTCTATAAATAAACCAGTATAACACTACTGGTCTGTCAAAAATAACCGGTAATAACACCTCTGTCTGTCTATAAATAACCGCAGTTAATAACACTGCTGTCTGTCTATAAATAACCAGTAACAACACTACTGTCCTGTCCTATAATACCGATAATAACACTACTGTCTGTCTATAATAACCAGTAATAACACTACTGTCTGTCTATAAATAACCAGTAATAACACTACTGTCTGTCTATAGATAACCAGTAATAACACTACTGTCTGTCTATAAATAACCAGTAACAACACTACTGTCTGTCTATAAATAACCAGTAATAACACTACTGTCTGTCTATAAATAACCAGTAATAACACTACTGTCTGTCTATAGATAACCAGTAATAACACTACTGTCTGTCTATAAATTTTGTATACATCTGGCCCTTCATTGGACACTGTGTTAACAAACCTCCAAACGAGCTTCAATGCCATACAACATCCTTCAGTAGCCTTCATTCAACTGCTCTTAAACACTAGTAAAACTAAATGCATGCTTTTCAATCGAACGCTGCTAGCACCCGCCCACCCGACTAGAATCACCACTCTCGACGGGTCTGACCTAGAGTATGTGGACAACTACAAATATCTAGGTGTCTGGTTAGACTGTAAACTCAACTTCCAGACTCACATAAAGAATCTCCAATCCAAAGTTAAATCTAGAATCGGCTTCCTATTTCGCAACAAAGCCTCCTTCACTCATGCTGCCAAACATGCCCTCGTAAAACAGACTATCCTACCGATCCTTGACTTCGGCGATGTCATTTACAAAATAGCCTCCAACACTCTACTCAGCAAATTGGATGTAGTCTATCACAGTGCCATCCATTTTGTCTCCAAAGCCCCATACACTACCCACCACTGTGACCTGTACGCTCTTGTTGGCTGGTCCTCACTACATGTTCGTCGTCAAACCCACTGGCTCCAGGCCATCTATAAATCACTGCTAGGCAAATCCCCGCCTTATCTTAGCTCATTGGTCACCATAGCAGCACCCACCCGTAGTCTGCGCTCCAGCAGGTATATCTCACTGGTCATTCCCAAAGCCAACACCTCCTTTGGCCGCCATTCCTTCCAGTTCTCTGCTGCCAATGACTGGAACGAATTGCAAAAATCTCTGAAGCTGGAGACTCTTATCTCCCTCAATAACTTTAAGCATCAGTTGTCAGAGCACCTTACCGATCACTGCACCTGTACACAGCCCATCTGAAATTAGCCCACCCAACTACCTCATCCCTATATTGTTATTTATTTTGCTCTTTTGCACCCCAGTATCTCTATTTGCACATAATCTCTTGCACATCTAGCATTCCAGTGTTAATACTATTGTAATTATTCTGCACTATAGCCTATTTATTGCCTTACCTCCATAACTTGCTACATTTGCACACACTGTATATATATTTTTCTGTTGTATTTCTGACTTTTTTTTTTTTTTTACCCCATATGTAACTCTGTGTTGTTTTTATTGCACTACTTTGCTTTATCTTGGCCAGGTCGCAGTTGTAAATGAGAACCTGTTCTCAACTGGCTTACCTGGTTAAATAAAGGTGAAATGAAATAAAATAAAAAAATAAAAAAATAACCAGTAATAACACTACTGTCTGTCTATAAATAACCAGTAATAACACTAATGTCTGTCTATAGATAACCAGTAACAACACTTCTGTCTGTCTATAAATAACCAGTAATAACACAACTGTCTGTCCATAAATAACCAGTAATAACACTACTGTCTGTCTATAAATAACCAGTAATAACACTACTGTCTGTCTATAGATAACCAGTAATAACACTACTGTCTGTCTATAAATAACCAGTAATAGCTCTACTGTCTGTCTATAAATAACCAGTAATAACACTACTGTCTGTCTATAAATAACCAGTAATAGCTCTACTGTCTGTCTATAAATAACCAGTAATAACACTACTGTCTGTCTATAGATAACCAGTAATAACACTACTGTCTGTCTATAGATAACCAGTAATAACACTACTGTCTGTCTATAGATAACCAGTAATAACACTACTGTCTGTCTATAAATAACCAGTAATAACACTACTGTCTGTCTATAAATAACCAGTAATAACACTACTGTCTGTTAGTAAGCCTGCATAGCTACATATGTATGTCCAGTCATTATGTCATTTGGTTAGAGGATCAGGATCGATGGAGGCATGCTGCCAGTTAGAAGTGAGGGGGTCAAAGGTTACAGTGGGCATTGAGGATGTGGAGGAGGAGTGATCGTCATGGAGAAGGGATAAGGCTTCCCAAATGGAACCCTATTCCCTTTATAGTGCACTACTTTTGACCAGGGACCATAGGGCTCTAGGGACCATAGGGCTCTGGTAAAAAGTAATGCAATATGCAGGCAATAGGGTTCCATTTGGGACGTAACCAGGTTGGTTTGTACAGAGGAGGAGGATGTGAATAAAGAGATTCAGAGGTTTCTAATAGATCCACACGGTTGATGGGAACAATCGATCCGACGGACAAAAACGTTTTTTTTGTTTAAGAGTCCATTAGCTATCTAAAATGGGAATGAGGAAGTATCTATGTATCCAAGGACTGCTGAGTCTAAACTATTTATTTAAATGCAGATGTTGTAAATGCTCTACTCCGATGGCCTTCACTGTGAGTGCAGTAGCACTGTGACACCGTTACTATGGGAGATGGTTTTCCATGCAGCAGTCCTCCATTAACACTTGGTTCGCTGTGAGATTTGTCTTTCTAAATTCTGCTTTACTTACTTCTTTCACATTAAACACCTTCATTTACTTAGAAAGGTGACTTGTATCTACTACATGTAGACAAGAATGTAGACATGGAATCCACCACCAAGGTACCCTGGACAGCTCCAGACCCCTACACCATACAGACTGACAGGCCTTCCAGACCCCTACACCATACAGACTGACAGACTGACAGACTGACAGGCCTTCCAGACCCCTACACCATACAGACTGACAGACTGACAGGCCTTCCAGACCCCTACACCATACAGACTGACAGACTGACAGGCCTTCCAGACCCCTACACCATACAGACTGACAGACTGACAGGCCTTCCAGACCCCTACACCATACAGACTGACAGACTGACAGACTGACAGGCCTTCCAGACCCCTACACCATACAGACTGACAGACTGACAGGCCTTCCAGACCCCTACACCATACAGACTGACAGACTGACAGGCCTTCCAGACCCCTACACCATACAGACTGACAGACTGACAGGCCTTCCAGACCCCTACACCATACAGACTGACAGACTGACAGGCTTTACAGACCCCTACACCATACAGACTGACAGACTGACAGACTGACAGACCCCTACACCATACAGACTGACATACTTACAGGCCTCCAGACCCTACACCATACAGACTGACAGGCCTTCCAGACCCCTACACCATACAGACTGACAGACTGACAGGCCTTCCAGACCCCTACACCAACAGACCTGACAGCCTGACAACTGACAGGACCTCCAGACCCTACACATACGACTCAGACTGACATATGACAGCTTTAGACCCCTACACATACAGACTGACTACTGGAGTAACACGAAGTACATGCAGACAGCAGGGTCTAATCTACATAACTCTTACCAAGATTCTCAGCAAATGGCTTACATGAGCCATCACACCATACACAGAGGGTTAGGTGATGGAGATGTCAGGTTAAACGGACCGGGTACTGGATCAATGGAGTGTCGGTAACCAAATCAGGCGGCTTAGGTACATGGAGATCAGACGGTAAACCAACCACGGGATACAGTAGATGGGATGACAGGGTGAACCAACACAGGGTACAGGGTAAGGGAGTTCAGGGTAACCAACACGGGGTTCAAGGTCCAGAACGGGATGTCAGGGTAAACCTAACAGGGGTTCGTAAGGGTATACGGGACTGTCAGGTGACAACACACAGGGTGGGTAGAGGGCACAGATGTCAGGAACCAACACAGGGCTTCGGGTACCTGAGTGTCAGGTAACAACACAGGTGGAACGGGTAGAGGGATCAGGATACAACCACAACGGGGGTAAGGGTATGATGGAGTTCAGGCAAACAACACACGGGGATAAGGGTAGATGGGAGGCTTCCGGCTACAACCAAACAGTGAGCGTAAGGGTAGATGGAGTTGTCAGGTAAACCAACACAGGGGGTTAGGGTAATGGATCAGGATAAACCAACACAGAGGGGTTAGGGAAATGGGAGGTCAGGGTAACCAAACAGGGGTAGGGTAAATGGATATCAGGGTAACCAGAAGGGGGTGAGAAAAACAGGGAGTGGGATGGGTGTCAGGGTAAACCAACACAGGGGGTAAGGGTAGATGGGAGTGTCAGGGTAAACCAACACAGGGGGTTAGGGTAGAGGGGAGTGTCAGGGTAAACCAACACAGGGGGTTAGGGTAGATGGGAGTGTCAGGGTAAACCAACACAGGGGGTAAGGGTAGATGGAGTGCAGGGTAACCAGTATGTTTCACTACAACATCTCACTCCCAGCTACAAACCTAAGTAGCTATTCTGGGCTACGTCCTCAAACACGGGCCGGCTGGAGTGGGGCTCCAGAGTTTTATACACCAGGGCATCTTCATCAGGACTAGCCATGAACAAGAGCCCTGTGGCCCGAGAGAGAAAGAGAGAGAGAGGAAGTGTGGGGGGGGGTGAGGAAGAGGTGTGAGAGAGAGAGAGAGAGAGAGAGGAGAGAGAGAGGAGAGGAGAGAGAGAGAGAGAGAGGAGAGAGAGAGAGAAGGAGAAAGAGGGGGGGGGGGGGTTGCGTGAGTGCAGGTGAGAAAGAACAGTGCTGTGATTGTGTGTGTTCTTCTTCCTGGTATCGCAGTGGTTTGTGGGTAAACCACTGGTACCCAACAGAAGGACGACAAGACTGACTCACACTGGACCCAAAATTAGATCTGTTTGTGATTTTTAGCCAACTTCTCACACATGGCATTGGCATGACAACAGAGTAGTTCGCTAAAGTACAAGCTGATCTGCGACCAGTCTATAACAAGCCCTGATGACTGTGGGATAATAATATTCCTATCCTCTTAAGTGTTATTATATTGTCATATTTCTGACCCATGATTGGTCCATTCATACGGTAGCTACTTGGTGTGGGAAAGCATTCAGAACATTGAGGTGGAGTGGAGCTGTCTTGGATTCAGCTCTGGTGAGTCACACTCCCTCTTACACAAAGCAGGGTCAGGGATGGCCCCTACGGACTGCAGAGAAACCAAGGGTCTGAAATGACACCCTATTCTCTGCCTAGTCCACTCATAAGCAGTCCACTATATAAAGGTATAGGGCGCCATTTGGGACGCATCCCCAGGACTTCCCTCTTGGTCTGCACTACACCAGTCTGGACCGGTTTAATCCAGGCTTGTCTGCCTTTCTACAGCCACGTTGGCAGCTACCCTGAGTCCTCTAGGTCTGGGGGTATTTATTTTGGGTACAGTGTGTCGTCAGTCTGTTGTTGTTGTTGTCCTTCCCTGGCCCTCTCTCCTGTCCTGTCCTGTGCTCAGTGATCTCCGGAGGGACAGGGCAGCAGGCTGGTGGCTGTGTGAGAGGAGCAGCCGAGGGCAGGGACGGTCCTACCCAGGTAACTATGTGAGGGAACTGGGATCAGCTGAGCGTTCAGCTGTTTCTCATCCGCCACCTCATAAGGCCCGTCGTCATAGAAACCAAGATCCAACAGAGTCTGGTTTAGCAGCTGGACACGCATCTCTCCTGGAAGGAACAGAGTTAGAGGACACAGACAGACAGACAGACCAGGCAGGCAGGCAGACAAAGACAGAACAGACAGACAGACAGACAGACAGACAGACAGACAGACAGACAGACAGACAGAACAGACAACAGACAGACGACAGGACAGACAGACAGACAGACGACAGACCGACAGACAGAGACAGACAGACATACAGACAGACAGCACAGACAGACAACAGACACCGACAGACAGTCAGACACAGACAGACAGAAACACAGACACAGACACAGACACAGACACAACAGACCAGACACAGACACAGACACAGACACAGACACAGAAAACACAGACACAGACACAGACAAGACAGACCACAGACAGACAGACAGACAGACAGACCATACAGACAGACAGACACAGACAGACACAGAAAGACTCACAAACACAGACAGACATACACACAGACACACAGAAAGACATGCGTACACAGACAAGCACGCACACGCACAGACAAGCACCCACACACACACACACACACACACACAGAGAGAGAGAGTGCGACAACTCCCACACACACCTTTTTTTAAACACATAGATATCCACAGGACAATGTAATCAATGGGGTTACACAATGTTAATGTCAAGTACCATATGATGTTAATTGTTACTCCACCTAAGGCCTGTATAACATATGATACAGTGATCCATAATTCATATTGATCACTGATGTCTGACTATGGCAGTTCCATCAATCAGTCCCAATAACTAACAGCTGGGAATCAATCATTTTGATCCATCAGTATGACTACTAAGGCCAATCAGTATATTGATTAGCTTATAAATCAATGATTTGCCCAAGGATGGAAATGCAATTTTATGAAAACTGAATTATGACTTTTGGGTAGTTTTTATAACGATCTGCTGTTTGACATGTGTCTCTGGGCATGAGCTCAGCTAGCTAATGTTACAATTATGCTGCTTAATCCATTTAGTGAGGCAGTTTCCTCTTTCTTTGATTAGACCACATTTGAGGTCTAAAACACATCTGACAACAAGCTTAGATTTTTTGTGAACTCTCATTTTAATCACCTCAGGTGTCAGTCTCAACTATTTAACCTTCATTTATACAGGTTTGTCTCATTGAGATAAAAAAAAAAGTATGTCACCGTACCTTTCCAGTTGTACGTTCCTGGAGCTCCGAACATGATATATTGGTTGTCAGGTGTGAAGGCAGCAGACATGCCCTGCTGACAGAAGCCAAACTGTTCGTGTCCCTGGGGTCGCCCCTCACAGAACTTCCACTCCCCTCCATCCAGGTCGTCCCTTTCTGTCAGGTCCTCACTCAGGACGTAGCAACGCCCGATGGGGTCCCGCGTCTCCGACGGCAGGCCCACACGGTGACGAAGCTCATACAGGTGGGCACAGGTCTGGAGAGGGGCAGGGGGATAGCACCATATCAGTAACTGGAAGAAATGGTCTCGTATATACTACAGACAAAGTTTGATCTCAGATCTGTTTGTGAGCACGTCTAGAGAAGCTGGCTACCGTAAGTAACTGGAAGAGACGGTCCACTACATACATAGCCTGGTCTGGAGAGAGGCAGAACCAGTAGTAGTACAATCTCAGCATTGGGCCCTGGTCTACTTACTACAGTACAGACATAGCCTGGTCTACTTATTACAGTACAGACATAGCCTGGTCTACTTATTACAGTACAGACATAGCCTGGTCTACTAACTACAGTACAGACATAGCCTGGTCTACTTATTACAGTACAGACATAGCCTGGTCTACTTACTACAGTACAGACATAGCCTGGTCTACTTATTACAGTATAGACATAGCCTGGTCTACTTATTACAGTACAGACATAGCCTGGTCTACTTACTACAGTACAGACATAGCCTGGTCTACTTATTACAGTACAGACATAGCCTGGTCTACTTATTACAGTACAGACACAGCCTGGTCCCAGATATGTTTGTGCGGTCTTGCCAACTCCTATGGCACAATGACAATAACCCTAGGAGCAGAAACTGATCTGGGACCAGGGCCCAGACTACTACAGACATGCTTAGTACCAGGAGTTTTCCTTTTACTTACCACCACCTTTCCTCCAATCCCCTGGCTCTTGACTGTTACTCCTAGCCACTGGTTGTCCTTGCTCTCGCTCTCAAGGTTTACATCTCCATCGATGTCCACTCGCTCGCAGTCAAACTCCTCGCCTTTCGATCGGACAGCGGTACAGGGCGCCAGGACGCTGTCTCCGCATGAGGCCCAGTCCTCTGGCCCGGGGAGCCCCCACCAGTATCCTGGAAGACACAACACATCAGATCGTTACTGGGAGCACAGTCTCATGACTGACCCAGACACAATCTATATAGTATATGACCAGAGCACAGTCTCATGACAGACCCAGACACAATCTACAGTTGTGGTCAAAAGTTTTGAGAATGACACAAATCTTTAATTTTCACAATGTCTGCTGCCTCAGTTTTTTTGATGACAATTTGCATATACTCCAGAATGTTATGAAGAGTGATCAGATGAATTGCAATTAATTGCAAAGTCCCTCTTTGCCATGAAAATGAACTTAAATCCCAAAAAACATGTCCACTGCATTTCAGCCCTGCCACAAAAGGACCAGTTGACATCATGTCAGTGATTCTCTCGTTAACACAGGTGAGAGTGTGGACGAGGACAAGGCTGGAGATCACTATGTCATGCTGATTGAGTTAGAATAACAGACTGGAAGTTTTAAAAGGAGGGTGGTGCTTGAAATCATTGTTCGTCCTCTGTTAACCATGGTTACCTGCAAGGAAACAAATGCCGTCATCATTGCTTTGCACAAAAAGGGCTTCACAGGCAAGGATATTGCTGCTAGTAAGATTGCACCTAAATCAACCATTTATCGGATCATCAAGAACTTCAAGGAGAGAGGTTCAATTGTTGTGAAGAAGGCTTCAGGGCGCCCAAGAAAGTCCAGCAAGCGCCAGGACCGTCTCCTAAAGTTGATTCAGCTACGGGATCGGGGCACCACCAGTGCAGAACTTGCTCAGGAATGGCAGCAGGCAGGTGTGAGTGCATCTGCACGCACAGTGAGGCGAAGACTTTTGGAGGATGGCCTGGTGTCAAGAAGGGCAGCGAGGAAGCCACTTCTCTCCAGGAAAAACATCAGGGACAGACTGATATTCTGCAAAAGGTACAGGGATTGGACTGCTGAGGACTGGGGTAAAGTCATTTTCTCTGATGAATCCCCTTTCCGATTGTTTGGGGAATCTGGAAAAAAGCTTGTCCGGAGAAGACAAGGTGAGCGCTACCATCAGTCCTGTGTCATGCCAACCATAAAGCATCCTGAGACAATTCATGTGTGGGGTTGCTTCTCAGCCAAGGGAGTGGTCTCACTCACAATGTTGCCTAAGAACACAGCCATGAATAAAGAATGGTACCAACACATCCTCCGAGAGCAACTTCTCCCAACCAATCAAGAACAGTTTGGTGATGAACAATGCCTTTTCCAGCATGATGGAGCACCTTGCCATAAGGCAAAAGTGATAACTAAGTGGCTCGGGGAACAAAACATCAACATTTTGGGTCCATGGCCAGGAAACTCCCCAGATCTTAATCCCATTGAGAACTTGTGGTCAATCCTCAAGAGGCGGGTGGACAAACAAAAACCCACAAATTCTGACAAACTCCAAGCATTGATTATGCAAGAATGGCCTGCCATCAGTCAGGATGTGGCCCAGAAGTTAATTGACAGCATGCCAGGGCGGATTGCAGAGGTCTTGAAAAAGGTCAACACTGCAAATATTGACTCTTTGCATAAACTTAATGTAATTGTCAATAAAAGCCTTTGACACTTATGGAAGGCTTGTAATTATACTTCAGTATACCATAGTAACATCTGACAAAAATATCTAAAAACACTGAAGCAGCAAACTTTGTGAAGACCAATACTTGTGCCATTCTCAAAAAATTTGACCACGACTGTATATAGTAGCCGGCCAGAGCACAGTCTCATGACTGACCCAGACACAATCTATTGAGTAGCTGGCCAGAGCACAGTCTCATGACTGACCCAGACACAATCTATTGAGTAGCTGGCCAGAGCACAGTCTCATGACTGACACAGACACAATCTATTGAGTAGCTGGCCAGAGCACAGTCTCATGACTGACACAGACACAATCTATTGAGTAGCTGGCCAGAGCACAGTCTCATGACTGACCCAGACACAATATATTGAGTAGCTGGCCAGAGCACAGTCTCATGACTGACCCAGACACAATCTTTTGAGTAGCTGGCCAGAGCACAGTCTCATGACTGACCCAGACACAATCTATTGAGTAGCCGGCCAGAACATGCAAGATTTGGTTCTTGGTTCATGCCATTTTTTTGCAAACACTTTAATCCAAAGCAATTTACATCAGTGAGTGCGTACAATTTAGTATATATGACCCAAGCTGGGATTCAGTATTTGACTGGGAGCATGGCTACAGGTCCGGGAGTGTTTCCTGGCCATATCACCTGACCAGGAAACACTCAGGGCACAATACCGTAGTTATATGGCTTTTATTGGGACCTGGGCCCCTATTCACTGTCACGATCGTTGGAGGAAGTGGACCAATGCGCAGCGGTGATGAGTGAACATACTTTTATTATATTTACCACACAAAAAACAAAACAACAAAACGATACGTGAAGTCCTAGGTAACAGACACAAACCATACCACGGAACAAGATCCCACAAAACACTGTGGCAAAACAGGCTGCCTAAGTATGGTTCCCAATCAGAGACAACAAGCAACAGCTGACACTCGTTGCCTCTGATTGAGAACCACCCCGGCCAACACAGAAAACACATGAGCTAGATAAAGAACCTAGAACACAAATACATAGAAACTACACACCCTGGCTCAACATAACAGAGTCCCAGAGCCAGGGCGTGACATTCACGAAGCATCACAGAGTAGGAGTGCTGATCTATGATCAGTTTTGCCACTTAGATTATACTGAATAAGATTATATGGACAGGGAAGACCTGATCCTAGATCTGAGACACTTTATAAATACGGTCGCTGGAGTTGTTCCTGCATGGTCAGGTCACGTGGTCAGGAAACAGGAAACACCCTACTGAGATATTTTAGATGTTGTGTATTTGACGTGTTGTTTACAACAACAACCTCAGTTACTTTCGGGCGAGGTCACTATTCACCAACACGCAAAGCTACAGTAGCCTGTCAATATATTGCTACAAGGTAGTTCCTAACACTGATACTACTACGTGTTTATCATGATTCTTTCCCTCTCCTATCTTTTGTAACCGTTGGGGACCCAGAAAAAGGTATTTGTTTTCAGTGCTGTGGTGGGTGCTGATATTTTGGGGTCGTGGTTCTGGCCTTATACGGGCTGGCTGGTCCAGGCAGGGGGCTATTTAAAACTCACTGTTGAACCACATTCCACCCAACCAACCCTCTCCTCTCTGGCACAAGGGCACGGAAGCAAGACACAGAGAAACACAGTGAGAGAGGGGGCGAAAGAGAGGGGATAGAGAGAGAGAGAGAAGAGGAGGAGAGAGAAGAGAGAGAGAGAGAGATAGAGAGAGAAGGAGATGAGCCATTGTGTGGTAGAGAAAACAATCACGCGATCGAACGAAGAGAGAGAGCACACTCTGAGATAGAGAGAGAAGCTAGAGAGATATAGTCCTACCGTAGACTCAGTCCTCCTCTTCTATCTCTCGACGCCTTCCTCTCTCTCCTCTCATCCCGCTACCTCATCGAGATTACGATAATCCCTCAACTCACAGGAGAAACATTTAAAAGTAAAAATGACTGTTTTTTATTGGCAGTTTCAAAACACCTGTCTCCTGTTTCATGCCTATTGGACCAATTCATTAGTTTTGGGAGGGTTTTTGTCTGATATTGATATGTGCAAGCACACACGTAATTACAAGCTTTCCCAACTGTCCGCTGCACCTCCTGGCTATAAATATGGGTTAGCTGATAGCACTAAAGAAACCAGACAGACAGACAAACAGACAGAGGCCTGATGGGTGAGGGGTGAGGGGTGAGGGGCGAGGGGCGAGGCCTGAGGGGTGAGGGCGAGGGGGTGAGGCTAGAGGGGTGATGGGTGAGGGGTGAGGGGCGAGGGGTGTGGCTATAGGGGTGTGGCTAGAGGGGTGAGGCCTGAGGGGTGAGGGTGAGGGGTGAGGGGCGAGGGGTGGAGGGGTGAGGGGTGAGGCTGAGGGTGGAGGGGTGAGGGGTGAGGGGGCGAGGGCGAGGGGCGAGGTCGAGGCGGGGGGCGAGGGGCGAGGGCGAGGGGCGAGGGGCCTGAAGGGTGATGGTGAGGGGTGAGGGGCGAGGGGTGAGGGGTGAGGGGTGAGGGGTTGGGCCTGAGGGGTGAGGGTGAGGGGCGGGGGCGGGGCGAGGGCGAGGGGCGAGGGGAGGGGTGAGGCCTGAGGGTGATGGGTGAGGGGTGAGGGGTGAGGGGTGAGACCGAGGGGTGGGGGGAGG